TTAAAGATGTTGATGAACCTTTATTTTATTCATTTACTTATATATGGTGCTGAGAATTGAACCCAGTTCCTCACACGTGCTAGGCAAGTGCTTTACCACTGAGCCACAACTCCAGCCCTTTTTTCCTTTTTAAATATAAACATTAGAAGCTATATATTTCCCCCCTAAGCACCACTTTGGCTGCATTCCATAAATTTTTCTACATTGTTTTCATTTTAATTAATCTCAAAGTATTTTCTAATTTCCTGTGTGATTTCTTCTATGACCCATAGATTTTTTAGGAGTATGTTGTTTAATTTCTGTATAAAGTTTTCCCAAATCCCTTTCTGTTATTGATTGCTAATTTCATTCTATTATGGAATGAGAATAGATTTTGTATGAGTTCAATCTTTTTCAATGTATGGATCCTTAGAGAGTTTTCAGACCTCACATACCGTCAATCCTGGAGAATATTCCATGTGCATTTCAAAAGAATATGAATTCTGCTGTTTATGGAGTGTCCTATAGATGTTTGTTAGAATGTTGTTTGATGTCTGTCTGACTTGCATAGCTGTGACCTTTGTTTTTTAAAGGAAGTGCTTAGGGGAAAATTTATAGTTGTTAATGTTTATGTTGAAAAGGAAAAAAAAAGATCTCAAATCAATAACCTAATATTTTGCCTTAAGAAACTCGAAGAACAAAACAGTACAAGCAGAAGGGAGGACAATAAGGATAATCAAGATTTGAGTACAAGTAAGTGAAATACAGCAAAGTGACTGGGAGAATCAACTAATCCAGAAGTTAATTATTTGAAAAGAATTGACAAACCTTTACTAGCGACCGAGCCACTCAAACCCAGATCAGCCAATGGTGCAGACCTCACAGCTGTTGATAGAAAGTGATATGGCTGTGGTTGTTGAGTCCTAAAGTCTCCCAGAGGTGAAATAGTCATTAATAAGCACACTGCCCAACAACATGCAGTGATGGCGGGTATTTCTGTCGTCATAATAAGATCTCTTAGGTTTTCATCTGGTTTTACTATGGGAGTTTTCTGGAGTGGTGGAGCTGATCACAAGAATTTATCTAAATTTTTTGGGTCACTCTCTCCTTCTCTGGTGGTCATCTTTATCAGCATTGCAAACCAGAACAGAAAGAGCCCAAAGAGTAATCAGTAGCCCATCTATGATTTCCTATTGGATTTCGCCCATCTCAGGAAACTTTGCTTAAGGGAGTAAAGGTTCCCGTAATGGGTCCCTGCAGCATCCAGGACCCACTGGAAAAAATAACTCTGAGACCCTCTACTGTGATCTTGGAATAGACAGAAGGTTGTCTTGATAGTAGGGCTGAGTTGTACAATGGCCCGGCTGTTGCCATTCTTTTTTAACCAAGCACCATGTCTCCTGCCTATCAGCCCTGAAGTGAACCAGCCAAAATTCTAATGAGTCATCCAATTTCTGTCCATAGTGGTGATAAATTTTACTCCATCTGCATTTAATATGTGTACACATCTTGGCAAATGCTGTCTGAAAGGGGATGGAAACTTCTATAATTCCGGGATGAGTGTCAGTACTTCTTGTTTCAATGAGGCAGACCTGTAGCTGTGAGAAACTATCTATTCCTCCATTCCCCAACCCCACCCAGAGGAGAGGAGTAATAATCAGGGAAATGACTGGTAGCTGACTTTGAACCTACTTCATGGTAACTGGCCTGTAAGCAACGACCTAATTCCTTATGAAACAAAATTGAAAACCTTTATTGCCCAGTTGGTCATATAATTTGGTCAACAAGCATGCTACCAATTCCCTGTCCTTCCTTCAAAACCTGTTAATCAGCCCATGAAGTCCTCATCTTTCTTACAAAAAGCAACATCTCTGTCCCCATTCTACCCTCATTGGCATCAATGTCAAGAAGTATATTGCTTGCTTTGGCAGCACATATACTAAAATTGGAAGGTACAGAGAAGATTAGCATGGCCCCTATGCTAGGATGACATGCAAATTCATGAAGCGTTCCACAGTTAGAATTTATTAATAAAAGAATCTTTAACTTAAGAAAAGAACTAAAATCTAAGATTTTTCCCCATTTGGAGCGGTTTGTTTTGGTTTTGGTGGGAGGATGCGGGGATTGAACCCAGGTTCTTAGGCATGCTGAGTATCTTTGGCATGCTAAATACATGCTCTACCACAGAGCTACACCCCATCCTTTACCCTATGCTGAAAGGGGATGGGAACTTCTGTACTTCGGGGATCAGTGTCAGTACTGCTTGTTTCAATGAGGCAGACCTGTATCTGACTGTGAGAAGCTATCTATTCCTCCCCAGGACATATTTATGCAGGATATGCAGGAGGGATATTGGGGATTGAACTCAGGGGCACTCAACCACTTAGCCACATCCCCAGCCCTATTTCTTGTATTTTATTTAGAGACAGAATTTCACTGAGTTCTTTAGTGCCTCACTTTTGCTGCGGCTGGCTTTGAACTCATGATCCTCCTGCCTCAGCCTCCCAAGCCGCTGGGGTTACAGGCATGTACCACTGCACCTGACCCTACCCTACTTTCAAACAAACTAGTTAAGACTGACACAAGTTCATGGATGCTGGCAAAAGACACAAGACTTCTGGGATGAAGACAAAGGACTTTATTACAGCACAGCAAGCAACATGAATGTAAGCATATCTATTACTTCCCCCTTCCAAGTCTATTGAAGGGGGCCTGCATAGATGCCTACGCATGGTGAGTTGAATTACAGAGAACCCAGATCTTTTATAAGGGACAGTGGGTATAGCAGCCCTTTGCTCTAGAAGGAGCCATTATTTCTACAGTCCAAGGCTGTACACTATACAAACATACTTTAAGATAGTCCAGAATAAAGGTACATACTCTTTTGTGTCTCTGCTCCTGCAAAACCTGCATAAATGAGAGATTGGTAGAGAACAGTTGCCTAGTACTCTTTACTCACATCTCCTCACTACATCCTCACACAATCCTGCCAAGTAAACATAAGTAGCTCTGTTTCAGAGGAGGAATTGAAGTCTGGAGAGGTGAAGTCAATTACTCCAGGTGACAGAGCCAGTAAGCAGAAGATCTAGGATCAAACTCAGGCCTGCCTGATTCCAGGCCTATGTCTTGTCCACCCTACAGTGGATCTTGAGGCAGGAAGAAGTCCTGAGAGAGGAAGGGGATAGAATTCCCTGGAGTAGTGGGACAGGAAGAAAGTAGGAACAGTAGGAAGAGATGAGAGGGAACAAGGATTTTATTTGTAGGATCTTGGAGACCATAATAAGGACTTTGGACAATTGTTTAAGTGTAATAGGGAGATGCCAGCTAGTTCTGAGCAAATATAACATGCCATATGTTTTAAAAGACTTATTCAAGTTTCCTACTCTGTGAAATGGTGACAACAGAACAACAACATGAGGAGAAAATGAAAGGGGAAAAATGGGAGGATAAATGACCAGTTGATACCTGGCAGAACAGGAGCTGAGTGGGTCTTGATGATGACACAGAGGGTACACTGGGGAATTCAGGATGGGCTGGAACTGGAGACTGTAATGGCCTGGAAAGTCTGTGCATATAGGCTGGAGTCCAAGAGATGGTTCAGGGACAGTTTCTATAGTCAGTCTGGCAGAAATGAATTGGGATGCAGGCCCTGAGTCAAGTACATTGCTGCCCAAGAACCTGTTGATGATGGAGAGAGTAAAGAGGTACACAGGGCTCTCCTAGGAGGCAGCAAGGGTGAAAAAAATGGCAGTGCCAGGGGGTCCTGTAGGAGGAAGATGGGGATTGGTGAAGGGCATTACAAGTAAGATTAAGAAAGCATATTTTGCCGGGCATGGTGGGGCACGCCTGTAATCCCAGTGGCTCCAGAGGCTGAGATGGGAGGATCATGGGTTCAAAGCCAGCCTCAGCAAAAAGTGAGGCACTAAGCAACTCAGAGAGACTCTGTCTCTAAATAAAATACAGAATAGGGTTGGGGATGTGGCTCTGTGGTCGAATGCCTCTGAGTTCAACCCCTAGTACAAAAAACAAACAAACAAACAAAAAAAAAACAACCATGTTTTGTCCAGGGAAGGAGGTTTCGGATGCGATTATGGGGGGTCTAGTCTTAACTCCTTTTTTACTGTCCTGGTTTACAGCCTTGAGACCTAGCAAGCTGCACATCTAGGGACCCCTGCCTACCCCATCTGCTTCTAATCTAATAAGGAGGTAGATACACATAGAAAAAGAACACGAAAGAAAGGGGAAAATCATAAAGGCCAATGTTCAGGGAGTACCAGCAACTTTCACTTGCAATCCACTTAAGAAAAGCCTAACGGTCACAAGTATATGTAATAAGTCCCCCATCCCCACTCCAGAGCGGCGCGGCTGGAACCTGATCTGCGCATGCCCAGCACAAAGCGGTTTTTCAGTCAGCAAACTTTCTAAGGTCATAAAATTAAAAAAAAAAAAAAAAAGGTCTGCTTAGGGACAGGCTTTGCATTAGTCCCAGGAGTCCCAGGTCTTGGCACTAGGTGGGGGCAGAGCATGTGACAGACTAGAACCCTGGACGTGCAGAAGGGGGGGGCCTGGAAATAGGCCGAAGGCGAAAATGATCCCGCTGGTCCAAGTGAGGCTCCACACGCGCGCAACCCCGATGGCGGTGGTTGGGATTACGACACTGCCCCGCCGGCTCAGCCTGTGAGGAAAGGACAACCCCAAGTCAGGCAGAGGCCAGCGAGGGCTTTTCAAATCAAGTGGTCCCCTCAATTCGCGGAGGGCAGGAAAAGCGACCTAGCGAACTCACTCCCGAGCCCTACGACGCGAGCAGGATTTCCCCGAACACGCCCCTCCAGTTTCTGTTTGCCGGGTTCCGGGTGACTGACGCGCCTCCCGGGTAAAGTGGAGACCGCTGCAGACACGCCCCACTGTGGGCAGAGCGAGATCTGAGGACTCCTGGGATGCGTCACTTCCGCCCTCATCCTCAGGCCCTTGTGGAAGGGGCGGGGGCGCGGTGAAGGCGCTCTGCTTGTGCGACATTTCCGGTGAGCCCAGCGGCGACAACGGCAACATGGCCCTGAACGGCGCTGGTGAGGACTTGGGTTACGGGGGCCTGTGGCTGCGGGGCGCGGGAGCCTGCTCGCTCCGGCAAGATCCCGGTCCCTTGTGCCTGTCTTCCCCAGAAGTCGACGATTTCTCCTGGGAGCCCCCGACTGAGGCGGAGACGAAGGTGCTGCAGGCGCGACGGGAGCGACAGGATCGCATCTCCCGGCTCATGGGCGACTACCTGCTGCGCGGTTACCGCATGCTGGGCGAGACGTGCGCGGACTGTGGGGTGAGGAGAGGCTCGGGCGAGTGGCCGGCGATGGGCCCGCGGGCAGGCCGCATGGCCCCTCCTCAGCCCTCCCCTTTGAATCCCATCGCCCCGCTTCTTACCCTACCCCGTGTGCTTTCTGGTCCAGACGATCCTTCTCCAAGACAAACAGCGGAAAATCTACTGCGTAGCTTGTCAGGAGCTCGACTCAGACGTGGATAAAGATAATCCGGGTGAGGGGTCCGATGTGCTCGGTGGGGAATCATTGTGGTGGTAGATGCCCAGAACAGTAGGCCTGGGAGGTGACAGTGAAGTCTGTGGGTGGGCAGACTCCAAGATGCTTTCTCCTTTAGGCTCTGGAGAGGACCATTCATTGAGAACACTAAGCACCTCCTGTTCCCACACTGCGGGAGAGTCTGAGCGCAATCAGGCACAGTCTTGATGGGCCCATCAAGTTAGGGCATAAATAACTGTGATAGAAAAATAGAAAGTGGGTAGTGACTGAGAGTGTAGCTCAATGAAGTGCTTGCCTAACATGTCCAAGGCTCTGAGCATAGTTTTAAAAATCTGCAGCATAGTTTAAAAAACAAAACAAAACAGTAAAGAGCACAAATAGAGGGTTCCTGGGTGTGCCAGTCATTCTGACCATTCCACCCACTTTCTTCCCTTTTTAGCTCTGAATGCCCAGGCTGCCCTCTCCCAAGCTCGGGAACACCAGCTATCCTCTGCCACAGAGCTGCCCTCTGGCCCTAGGCCCACACCTCAGCCCCCAGTACCACGACCGGAGCATTGTGAGGGAGCTGCAGCAGGGCTCAAGGCAGCCCAGGGGCCACCTACTCCTGCTACGGCTCCAAGTGCAGATGTGGTGACTTGCACACAGGCAGCCCTCCTGCAGAAGCTCACCTGGGCCTCAACTGAGCTGGGCTCTAGCACTTCCCTGGAGACTAGCATTCAGCTGTGTGGCCTTATCAGGGCATGTGCTGAGGCCCTGCGCAGCCTGAAGCAGCTGCAGCACTAAGACCCAGCCCAGCCCACCCCACCCCCGAAAAACCCTCTAGAAAAGTCGCTGTTCCTGTGTGGTTTGTTCTTTTCTTGGTTCTAAGTGTGCATGTCAGCTCCAGCTCCACTCCACTTTTTCCTACTTTTGGCCTCTCACCTTCCTACCCTATACTCTCCCTGAAGCCCTGAAAGTTGAGTTTATATCTGCAGTCAGGATGAGTGGTAGGTACAGGGCAGTGTGATATCCCCTTTCTGAGGAGGACATAGCCTTCTCAAAGTCAGGAGCAAGGGGGCTGGACCACCAGCCTTGTCTGTAGCTGCACCCTCCTCCCCCAGCCAGCTAAGCCATTCATTGATGACTGTGAGATTTGGGATTCTGTTCCCAGGGTAACTTCTCTCTCTCTTAAGCATCCTGGTTCTATCATGCTGCCTCACCTCATGCCCACTCCAGTACTCAGACACTGACAGAAATTGTAGGAACCCCAACTTTGCACGCTAAGAGCCACGCATGGTTTTGCCCCAATATTCTGATCCCCATTTTTAGTACCTTTTCCTAGGGAGGGTAATTGTGAAGGACACCTTGTGGAGAGGGGCAGTAAAAAAGAACCTCCAACGACACCCGACTGCCCATTTCGGACTCTTTTTTTTCTTGCTCCCCTTCTGTGGGCGCCCCTGTTGCTTTTACCAGGCTTTGCGCGACGCTGTCCCCCCAGCCTGTTGCCTGTTTAAGAGAGGCCCCGCCCATGCGGAGGGGTGGGTCAGGGGCGGAGTCAGAGGAGCCAGGGAAGGAACAAAGCGCGGCCTGCGGGTGGCGGCTGCGCTGGGCCGGCCGGGCCCGGAGGTGCCGAGCCTGCGGGCGGCGACCCGGGCAGGGCAAAGCTTTCCGGGGAGGAAGGTGGTATCGCCCTCTGCGCCGGCACGGCCATGAACGGGCTGCCCTCTGCTGAGGCTCCAGGCGGCGCGGGCTGCGCCCTAGCCGGGCTCCCGCCGCTACCGCGCGGCCTCAGCGGCCTCCTCAACGCGAGCGGGGGCTCGTGGCGGGAGCTGGAGCGCGTCTACAGCCAGCGCAGCCGCATCCACGACGAGCTGAGCCGCGCCGCCCGGGCCCCAGACGGGCCACGCCACGCCACCGGCGCCGCCAGTTCGGGGCCAGCCTCCGGCCCGCGTCGCCCAGTGAACCTCGACTCGGCACTAGCCGCGCTGCGCAAGGAGATGGTGAGTGGGTGGGCGCCGCGGGGGGAGGGTCCCGGGCGAGGTGGAGCGCAGGGGCACCGGACTGGGTCTCAGAGGTCCCGCAGAGGCATTTGAGTTATGGGGGTTTGTAACAGTAATTAGCAACAGCCAGGCGTGACAATAGTTACTATATATATATGTATTTTTAATGTTTTACTCACGTTACCTCATTTCATTCTCAAAGGCAGGAGCAAGAGGGCTGGACCACTAGCCTTGCTCTATTACAACCCCACTTTACAAATGAGGGTCAGTGACTTGCTTAAAGTTTCACAGCTTGCACGTGCCTTCTGTTGTCCCTAGAACTTTCACTTCTGAAAGATTGGCTAGGGTTGTGACCTGGGCCGGGGGCTCTGGATTCCAGGAGAGCCCACTGTCAGTTGTCTGCAGGTGGGGTTACGGCAGCTGGACATGTCGCTGCTGTGCCAGTTGTGGGGCCTGTATGAATCAATCCAGGACTACAAACACCTGTGCCAAGACCTGAGTTTATGCCAGGACCTGTCATCTTCCCTGCACTCGGACAGCTCCTATCCACCGGATGCCGGCCTCTCTGATGACGATGAGCCTCCTGATGCCAGCCTGCCCCCTGACCCACCACCCCTCACTGTGCCCCAGACACATAATGCCCGAGATCAGTGGCTGCAGGACGCCTTCCACATCAGCCTTTGAACAGCTGGGGTGGGTGGGAATGCACCCATGCAAAAGTGTCAAAACTCGCCCCTGAGCATGTCCTCAGAAGACAGTGCCTGCTCTTCCACCTGTATCACCTCACCTCAGGAGAGCCAGGCATATGCCTCTCAGGCAAAACTGCCAACCCCCTCCTGGTTGGTTGGCACTGGGTGGGCACCTGGGTTGCCATGATATTGGGCCTCTTCTCTACATATGTGCACCCCCATCTTGGCGATGGGGCCCGAAGTATCTTGCACTCTGCTTGGCATCACTGGGATTGGGATGAGTGCCTGGCTCCTATCTTTTTTTCATCTTTTGCTGCTACTGGCAGCTGCTGGCTCAGGGGCATTCCACCTCTGGTCCCTGGGATCCACTGCCCTGGATAAGGGCCTCAGGACCCATGCCTGCACACACCCAAGTCCATAACAGGCTAAGGCCCCATGCTGGATATTTTAAGTTTAGGGGCCAGCCTCCTGGGCTGGTAAATAAATAAATAAATAAATACCCTCGGAGTTCCTGTTCTGATTGCCCGCGCTGGGCAGGAATATAGCGGCTTCTGACAAGTGAGTTCCACATTTCACCGGCAGGTGGCGTCCGAGACCCCCGAGTGAAAGAGGCTTACCCGCGGCGGCTGCGAATCATTCTCCCCCCAGCGGAGTTGGGAGCGTTCCAGGCTGCCCGAGCCTGGCTCCGCAGCTGTAGGACTGCGGTGGAGTCACTTCCCCTCTCCCACTGGCGGCTTTCTCGCCCAGCCCCCCTTTCCCAATCGCTTTGGGTTTTCCTGGCCCGCCGGGAAGGAAGGAGAAGGAGCCGCCCATCTTGAGGAGAGAAACTTTCCACCTCGAGTGGGGGCGGAGTTGGTGCAACACAGGAAATGGGTGGGCCGGAGCGGCGGTCCGGGGGCCCCTCGGCAGGAGAGGGGAAAGCTCAGGAAGGCACTGGAACTAGTGGCTGTGGAAACAGCTGTGGAGGCTGAAGGGAGTGTAGTTTCGGCCTCACTAGGGGCCAGAAAAGCCCAGAAGATGAGAGCAGGGCCCCAAGCCTGGGTGTCAGAGACTCAGTGTCAGTGAAGCGAGATTGGGGTCCCAGACACCCTCATTGCACACTTTGTCTCATACACATCGCTCGGCTCGCCTGCTCCCCACACACTTTGCACTAAGGACTTTCATGTAAAGCTCTTCCCCTTACTCCGGAAACCGAGAACCACGCTACTGGGACTGAAAGCCATAATCGGGTGTCAAGCCCACCGGAAGAAGCCTACACATTCATGAGGTTGCACACTTCAGGCTTACAGGCAGCTCACCCCATACTCTGCAGCACAGTCACCTGCCTCCTGGAGTTGCAACTCAGCTGGAACTCCTGGCAGATCAGATGTCCTGATCAAACCAAGTACCAAGCACCAGGGTTCCGTGTCAGTTCACAAACCTGACAGGGCAAAACGCAGGTGTATTGCCCCAGGCCAGTTCTCTTAAGTCAGGGTTTGACTTCTGCAGATGCTCATGCCCCTGCTGGGCTGGTGGGTGGGCGGGCAATAAAAACTCTAACTTAGGTGTTAAGTCTGCAGCTAAAGCAGGGTGAGGGGTGCATTTTCCAGGGGAGAGAAAGTAAACAAACATACCATACATACAGGCACACTTTTCTTTCCTGTCCATGATAACGGATTTCATGAAATGATGCCTGTCAAAATTAGCCAGGCTCTGTGATAAATGCTTTCTGAGGTTTCATCCTCTCAATGACTCTATAAAAGACAAAACTATAGTTATCCTCATTTAACAGTTGTCAAAACTGAGGCTGAGTGTTAGTACTTTGCCCAAGTCCACACACTTGAGTTGAAGTCAGGATCTGAACCTCCAGCTGCTTGTGGGAGGTCGAGGCTGTCTTCCCTCTAACAGCTGAGGAGTCAGGTTCTGAGAGACTGGGGGATGGGTGCTGCCCACTGATAGGGCACCAAGGTTAGTCCCTAATTCCGCTTGCTCCTTCCTGCTCTGGTTAAGGCATGGATGGCAGCCATGCCAGAGTTGAGAACATCTGAATCTGGCCCAGACTATCAGGAAGACCCTGAGCAAGTCTCTTCCCCTTTTTGAGTCTCTCTTTTCCTAGCCTGTGAAATGGGGTCACGAGTAAGAAAGGGCAGCAAGCAGGAAGGGAGGCGGCTGGGACAGCACTCCTCCAGGGCGGCACGAAGTTGCCAGTTGCCCGCTGTCCGGGACCACGCGCTTCCATCCGGACCGCGCGTCCACGCCGCCTCTGCGCGCACCAAACGGGCACTACAGTAGCATGTCACCACCTCCCACCCCCTACCGCCGCCCCCCGCGCGCGGGTCGCGGCTCGAGGCCCCGGAAGCCGGGTCGCTCCGCCCCCCGCTCTCCTGCCCCGGCTCCCGCCCCGCGCCCGGGCCCCGCCCGCCCTCCGACGGGGGTGCGGCTCCAGGAAACGGCGCGCTAGCCGCTCCGCTCTCCTGCCAGCCCGACGCGCCTCAGACCACCCCGCCGACTCAGCCAGACCACCGGGCGGCGGCGGGGACAGCAGCCCGGCGTCCGAGCCTCATATACTTCCGCACGGACGGGGCGGGCAACGCGGATAGGAGCCCCGGACACCATGGGTACCCGGGCAGGGCCAGTGATCGCAGGCCAGCGGGAAACCTGGGCCTGAGAAGTGGGCAGCAGGAGCGGAGGGGGCCATGACCTCTGTGTGGAAACGTCTGCAGCGCGTGGGCAAGAGGGCCGCCAAGTTCCAGTTTGTGGCCTGTTACCACGAGCTGGTGTTGGAGTGCACCAAAAAATGGTGAGTGGGAGGGAGGCCTGAGGGACCATTCCAAGATTGGCTGGGACGCCATCAGGCGGTTTGAGCCTGAGAGAACTCTGCCCGCCAGCCCAGTAGCCAAAGGGTTCCATCCCAGCTTGAGCCTGGGGTGCCAGACTGAGGGTCTCAGAAGTGCCTTGCAACTTGTGGAACCCCTAGAGTTGGGGGTGTGGGAACCTTCTTGGGGCTGGGGTCAGGGCTTGGAAGCCTGAGCATCTGTCTGTGCCCACAATTTCATCAGCTGTGGTCAGGGCTTCGGGAGGGAGGTTGGGGGGGTTGGGGCCAGAGAGATGGTAAGGCCGGCACTGGAAAGTTGGAAGTTTTAAGGTCTACAGGTGGCCAGAGCTGGGGCAGAAACCTCATGGACCTTAGTCCAGCTTGGAACAAAGATGTTGTCCCCCTCTCAAGCCCTGCCCAGAGGACACCCCTCCCCTTTAGCCAGAGTGGGCTCTGGGAGGCTGGAAATGTCTTCACAATGTCCTTAAAAGGGGAAACTGAGCACTTGGAGGGATGAGGAGGGAGGCGGGGAGCAGCTTAAAGGGGCCTCAGGACCTAGGAGGTTTGGGGGGTCTGCAGTAGAGGACCTGCAGAGGGCCAGGTAGTAGGGTGAGGGTGCAGGCCCTGTCCTAGACTGCCAAAAGGGCCAGGGGCATCTGGTTCAATTGTCCCCACTGGCAGCTGCCGGCCCCTGCGTCACACCCTAAATATACGAGCTCCCTGGTGTCAGCTTCCCTTGGCTGGATTAGGGCACAGCTGTGGGGGCCTCACGGCCCAGCCCAGTGGGGCTAAATTTAGGTTCCCAAGGGTAAGGGCTGGGGCAGGAAGAAACCATGGGGTCTAAGGGGAGGGGAGTGAGCAAAGGCTGGGGTGCCTGAGGCAACTGATGTATGTCTCAGGTCTTGCTCACACTGAGCCCTTCACTTGGCAGAAGCCCAGAGAGGATAGGGCCTGACTCGGGTAACACACCACAGAGCTAGCACTTGAACTCTGACCTCTGGCTTTTGCCTTAGCATCCTGGGTGAGGCCAGGGGGACGCTGAGCATTGACTGGACAGCAGGCCAGGGGTGCAGGCAGTGTCAATGCGGCTGAGTCACAGGCAGTGGGTAGGGCCTTCTGGGTTTCTTAGTCTGGAGACCAGGACAGGAAGCTGCCCCTGCCCAGGTTGGAGCTCCCTGGGAGGGTGTGCCTGGCCTGAGTCAGGCTGCCAACCAGGCCCCCGCCCTCCCTAGGCACCCCGTGTTTTGCTTCCCCTTTCTGGGAAGGCCTGTGGCTATCTTTGTTTGGCTATTGCCTGCAGTTTGGGGTTAGGGAAGAGAGCTTAGCTCTGGGCCAGAGGGCTCGGGGCTCAGCTGTGGGATCTTACTTGGTTGACCCCTTTGGGCCACAGCATCCTCAGGGGTTAATAGGAGAGCTATTTATCCGGGCTTGGCCTAGGAGGGGCAGTGAGTGGGCCAAACCCAAGCATCCTGGCATGGGGCTAGGGACAGGCAAGGAGTGCTGTTGGGTTCCTTTACCTGATTTTCCCTCAACCATCCTCATCCTTGGCAGCAGTTGGACACTAACTCCATCAGGCCCTCTCCCTCAGGCCCAGCCACGTCAGCTCCATGTGTGGAACTAGGCCCTGGGCTTCATGCCTCCTTTTGTCTTGGCCTCCACACATCCCTGCATCTCCTGAGTTGGCCCAGACCTTCCGGAAGTCTTCCCTGACTAGGCTACACTGACATCATCTTTCTGCAAAGCTAGGATCTAGGGCTCGGGGGCAGGCCCCCGTGTCTGTGGCTCGCTCCCACCCTCTCCCCGGCCCTCTCCCTCCCTTGCACTTGCCTTCCCCTCTGCCTGGAGCCCTCTTGCTAGAGAACCCCAAATGACCCACCCCTCCCCAACTCACCTCTGCTCAGACACCCCCCTCCTGGCTCTCCCACAACCCCCTGAAGTTAGTTTGCCGTTTCTTTTCCTTCTTGCCTCCCACTTCCCTTGTCCTTAGCCCAGAGAGGTCTTGCCTTTCCTTTTTTCCTCTCTGTTCCCCAAGCTGGGCTGGGTTCATAATGGGCAGTGAGTGGGTACTTCACAAATAATTTGTGAGTGAACAGACTATTTTTACTCTGAGACTTTGTCTCTGCTTGTGTCTCTGAGTGTGTGCGTGTGTGCGCGTGCATGTTTGTGTCCATCTGTCTTTTATGTCTGTCTCTGCTTTCCCTTTCTTCTTGTTAGCACTGGAGATGGAACTCAGGGGTACCTTTTACTACTAAGCTACATCCCCAGTCCTTTTTATTTTGAGACAGCATTTTGCTAAGTTGCTGAGGGCCTTGCTCAGTTGCTGAGGCTGGCCTCAAACTTGTGATCCTCCTGCCTCGGCCTCCTGAGTGGCTGGGATTACAGGCATGCACATGCCTCTCCTCTTTCCACATTCTTGTTGCTGGTCCATGTTGTCTGGGCCTTTGCCCTTGGCCTGGACTCCACCCTTCCTCAGCAGCCCCACCCTCACCCTGTGGCCCCAGATAAGGGGCTGCCCATGCCCTCTCCTGGGGGAAAGGGACAAGTGCTGAAGGAGGACCCTGAAGGAGGTGGAGAAGAGAAGGAAGACGAGATGAGGAGGCTGGGTGGGCCTGACTGAGCCCCCTCCTTCGCTCCCTCCCTCAGGCAGCCGGATAAGCTGGTGGTGGTGTGGACCCGGCGGAATCGTCGCATCTGCTCCAAGGTGGGGGACAGTGTGGTTGCAGGTTGGGGACAGGGCCTACCGGGTGGAGTGGGAGGCTGGTTGCAGCTGATGGGGAACTGGAGTGGGGTTCCAGGTCAGACCAGGATGCACAGGGGAGAGGAAGGTAGGGTCAAGTTTGGAGAGAAGGGAATGGGGGTGAGGGAGAAAGAGGTGAGTGCAGGGGAGGACTCACACTGTCCCTTTTAGGCCCATAGCTGGCAGCCAGGTATCCAGAACCCATACCGAGGCACTGTGGTGTGGATGGTGCCTGAGAACGTGGACATCTCCGTGACCCTGTACAGGGTGAGTCTCCAGCCTCTGGCATGGACAGGAGCAGGCAAGGGATTGCCGAGCTGGGCAGCCATGGGGCCCCTGGTGGGTTGTTCATCCAGTGAAAAAGAATAGAGGGGAGATACCCAGAATTTCTGGTGCGGGGGTTGCACTACTCCACGTGGGTGGCCCGGGAGTTCTTGGAGGAGTCGGCATTTGCCACACCTGCAGGAAGAGGGGCAGCTGGCATTGGGGAGCAGAGGAGCTGGCTGCAGGCCCACAGGCGTGAAGGCCTCGCAGCTCCTGAGCCAGCTGAGGCTCTTCTGCTGCCCTCTCTGCAGCCCTGTACTCACTCATGCCCTTGTTCCCAGGACCCCCACGTGGACCAGTATGAGGCCAAAGAGTGGACATTTATTATTGAGAACGTGAGTGCTGGGGTGGGATGGAGAGGGCTGGGGTCCGGGGGATCTGAGGGCAGCATGGGTGCTCCTTGCTCCATTCCACCCCCGCCCACAGGAGTCCAAGGGGCAGCGGAAAGTGCTGGCCACAGCCGAGGTGGACCTGGCCCGTCATGCAGGGCCTGTTCCAGCCCAGGCCCCGCTGCGGCTGCTGTTGAAGCCCAAGTCTGTGAAGGTGGTGCAGGCTGAGCTGAGGCTAACTCTCTCGGGGGTGCTACTGCGGGAGGGCCGCGCCACGTGAGTGCCCACTTGCCCTCCTGGCCCTGGCCTGTGATCTCTGGCCCCGGCCCTCATCCCTGACCTCTCACCCCCAGGGATGATGACATGCAGAGCTTGGCCAGCCTCATGAGCGTGAAGCCTAGTGATGTGGGCAACTTGGACGACTTTGCTGAAAGTGACGAGGATGAGGCTAATGGCCCAGGGGCCCCTGAGGCCCGGGCTCGAGGCCCCCAGCCAGGTGGGCTCACAGCCTGCCAAGGCTGAGACTGCCAAAGCCTAGGAGCATTGGGGGTACCTAGGCTACAAGCCGCTGACTGTGCTGGGGTGGGGCCAGCTTGTGCATGCCCAGAGGTGGAAGCTCATTTCTGCCCAGCACTTCCAACCTGCCCAGCAGCCCTGTTTGTTCTAAATGGATTCTGCCCTGTAGCATTGGTCTGACTGAGTCCTGTAGGATGGCTTCCCCTGCCCCTGGCCCTCTTAGCCCCGGGTTGGTGGGTGCCTGCCTGGACTGTGCCTGACCTGAGAAGCCCGGTCAGAGGCCCAGAGCTGAGCCGGGCTGCAGTCCAATCTCCCCACCCCTCACCACCTGTCCCTCCCTTCTGCTCATTAAGGCTTTTTGTCTGTCTGCCCCTGTGGTTTTCTTTCTCCTTCCTCTCTCTCTCTCTCTCTCTCTCTCTCTCTCTCTGCATCTGAGGGCCTGTCTCTTCTCGCAGGCCTGGGCGGTGCCCTGAGGCTGGGGTGTTTCCCAGGTAGGCCCTGTACTCTAGTTGGGGGAGGGGGTGTGACCTGCAGGCCTGCCCTGGGCTCATTGAACTCCCCATGCCAGATACCTCTCGGGAGCTGAAGACACTTTGTGAGGAGGAAGATGAAGGCCAAGTACAACCCCGGCAGGCAGGTGAGGCCCTGGGTTGGGATGGGGTGAGGACTGAACCCCAAGTTACAGGTCCCAGGCCTCAGTGGCTCCTCCCTTCCTCTCCAGCTGCCAGTCCTTCTAGTGCTGAGGATATCAGCCCAGCCCCCGTGAGTGCCCCTGCACCTGCAACTGGGGCCTCCCTGGGCCAGGGGTCAGAACCAGCTTCTGCAGCTGGGGGCCAGGTGGGGCCTGAGGCCCCAAGGCCCCCGGGAACCCCACCAGAGTCAAGGTGAGCTCTGGAACCAGCCTCCCCTGCCCCGTCCTCCTGGGAGCAGTCCTCTCCTCCTGCCCTGCCTCGCCAGTGCCCCAGTAGGCTGAAGGATGGGGTAGACATGAGAATGGGGCCTGCATGAGCCCCCCAACACCCTTTCCTGCTCTCTCCTCAGGTCCTCGAGGCAGCCAGGCCAGGACACGGCCCCTACCCCAGCCCCTCGGCTCCGGAAAGGCTCTGAAGCTCCCCGGCCCCCGACCCCCAAAGGGGCTGATGAGGTCCCCAGTGCTTCAGAGGTTCCCCAAGCAGGAGTGGGTTCTTCTGGGGAGACCCAGACCTGGATAAGCCCCCAGGAAGGGACAAAGGCCCAGGGAGCCAGGCCAGGCCCAGACATTGAGGACCAAGGTCCCAGAGATACCTTGGGGATGCAGAGACCCAAAGTTGAAGAGGGGGACAATGGGGAAAGACCAGAGGCTAGTGGGGTGGACACTGCACAAAGGGCAGGAGTCACAGCTGGGAGGGCTGAAGAGAGGTCAGAATTCAGTAGAAAGGATGCTGAGCAGAGATCAAAGGTGAGTCTTCTAGCCAATAAGGGACCAGAGGCAACAGGGCTGATGCCTGAGGCATGTTTTAGGGTAACTCCTGAGGCTCCTCCAAGGGGCTCTCAGGGGAAGATGGGGGTCAGAGCCAAGGAAGAGACGACTGCAGGCCTGAAGCCACCTCTAGTAGAGCTTGTAGAACACTCTGGACATCTCAGTGACCTCGGGGGGGCCAGGACTGCTGTAGGCCAGGAGAGAGAGGGTGCAGAGGTGAGGGGCAGAGCCCCTGGTGTTGGGAGGACAGCCCTGCAGCAGGGCCCCTCTGCCGGAGCAGCAAGCACCAGGCCCCAGGTGAGCAGGTTTCAGGGGGCCCCATCATCAGCTGACCAGGGGGCAATATCTAGGGATCTGAGGGTCTGGGAGGAAGAATCTGACCAGTCAAGGGTCCTGGGAACAGAGGGTGGGCTAGCAGAGTGGGAGGAATTGAAGACTCAGAAGACAGGCACAAGCAGGTCAGTGTTCCCAGTGAAGGAAACTCGTAGAGCGGAAGCTGAGGTATTGGAGGCCCAGGCAACAGAGGCAGGAAGATCAGGGGTCCTGGACGTAGAGGCTGCTGGGACAGCCGAGTTGGAGGTATCAAGGACTCAGGAGATACCTGAATGTTCTGGGTTGCTGAGGATAGAAGCTGAGATAGCAGAATCTGAGATATTAGGGATCCTAGAGATGGGGAGAGGAAGTTCTAAGATACCAGAGACAGAGGCTGGGGAGGTAGAAGCTAAAATATTGGAGGCCCAGGAAATAGCAACTGACAGTTCAGAGGTTCCAAGAATAGCAGTTGAGGTGGCCAAATCTGAGATATTAGGAGCCCAGGATACAAAGTTGGGGGTTTGGGGGATCCCAGGGGTAGAGACTAGGACAGCAGAGGCTGAGATGTCAGGGATCCAAGAGGTAGCACCTAGGGGTTCAAGGGCCCCAAGGATACAACCTGAGATTGCAGGGGGTTCCCAGGAGACAGAGGTAGGAGATTTAGAGGTTTCAGTGATAGAAACTGAGGCAGCACATGCTGAGATATTGGGGGCCCAGGAGACAGAGGTAGGAGGTTCAGGGGTTCTGAGGATTGATACTGGGACAGCAGAAGCTGAGATGTTAGGGATCCAGGAGATAGTAGCTGGGGGTTCAGGGGTCCCAGGGTTAGAAGCTGAGATAGCCAGGGCCCAGGAGACAGAGGTGGAGCACTCTGGGGTCTCAGGGCCTATGGCTGAAGTGGCAGAGGCTGAGATGCAGAGTATGGAAACTACAGTTCCAGAGCCTGGGGAGACACAGACTGAGAATTTGGAGGTCCAGGAGGCAGATACTAGGGTCTGGGGAGCTCTGAAAAAGGAGGATTTAAGGGCTCCAGGTACTAAGCAAAGAGTTTTAAGGTACCAGGAAGTAGGGGTAGAGGTTTTAGTGGGAGAAAAAGAGACTAAAGTTTTGAGGGCCCAAGGGGCAGAGCCTCATGTTTGGGGGTTGTCAGAGGTCAAATCTGAGGTTTGGGGGGCCCAGAAAGCAGACATGGTCAGTTTAGAGCCCCCAGAGAGCAAATCTGTTATTTTTGAGGCCCAGGAAGCAGAGGTTGGGGTCTTGGGAACCAAGAAAGGGCAAGAAGCTGAGGGAAGCCTCCCAAAGGCCAGTCTGATTTCAATGCAGGTGGCCAGCGGGGCGGGGGCTGGGGTGCCCAGGCCCTCGGGGGCCTCTTCCCCAGGGGAGCCTGAAGAGGACAGGAGGCTGCCGGGCAGCCAGGTAGGGATGGGGGCCGCCGAGGGCCCAGCCTGCTTCTTCTCACTAACCTGGGGCTGAGCGAACGGCGGCTCTGCATGGACCCACCTGGTGGACTGAGATGGGATGGGATGGGGAGCTCAGCTTCAAGAGCCCCCTCATCCCTTCCTTCCTCAGGATGTCCCGGCTCTCCCACCCTGTCTTCCCTGGGTCGCATGGAGCTGGATACGCCTAAGCTGGTTTTCTGGGCTGACTGAGATGTGGCTGCTGGTGACCTCTGATCTTGCCTGGGGGCATCTGACCTTTTAAGTGACCTTGGCAGATAACACCCTTGAGCTGGATACCCTTTTACTTGACCCCAAGGTTCTGGCCAAGTGGTCTCTGAAGACCCCTGCAAACTCAGAGCTGGGGTTGTTTTGTGCCAAGCCTGAGCTTCCCAAAGGGCAGAGGGAACAGGTCCCAGATGCACATCACCTAAGCCCACCTCTTTGTCCTTAGGCACCACCTACCCTGGTCAGCTCCAGCCAGTCCCTGCTGGAGTGGTGCCAAGAGGTCACCACCGGCTACCGTGGTGTCCGCATCACCAACTTCACCACATCCTGGCGCAACGGCTTGGCCTTCTGTGCCATTCTGCACCGATTCTACCCAGACAAGATGTGAGCTTGGGGGGCAGGCAATGACTGGGGGAGCCTGTAGGGAGAGTAGTCCAGCTTCTGACCAGCACTCTTTCTGCAGTGACTATGCCTCCCTTGACCCGCACAACATCAAACAGAACGAGAGGCAGGGGAGATGGGGGAGAGAGCCTGTGGGGGGGGGGATGAGGGTCTAGAGTGATGCTGAAGACCTGAGAATTGGGGAATCTATGGGCTGCAGGGACCCGCCAATGTGGCTTTTGGACCTATGTCACCCTTTTTTGTCATTAAATTGTTTCATTTAGTTTGTTTTGGCGTTTTTTTAAAAGCATTATTTCCCCCAGATCCTTTTTCCAAAACCACCCTTTGGTAACAGGGGTGGACAGTGCAGTTGCTAAGTAACGCTTTGGCGGGGGGCCCTGTTGCTAGATTTCCCTCCGCAGGAGGTAGAAGGCGTTGCTAGGCAAACCCTGGCTTGCAACTCGGGGGACCCCCTGAGCGGGCTGGCCCTGGGCTGCAGTTGCTGGGTAACGCCGGTGGCTACCACGGCTGCTGACCCTGAGTGCACCCTTCCTAGGCCTTCGATGGCTTCGCAGCCCTGGGCGTGTCGCGGCTGCTGGAGCCCGCTGACATGGTGCTGCTGTCTGTGCCCGACAAGCTCATCGTCATGACATACCTGTGCCAGATCCGTGCCTTCTGCACCGGGCAGGAGCTGCAGCTGGTGCAGTTGGAGGGCGGTGGTGGTGCCGGCACATACCGCGTGGGCAGCGCCCAGGCGAGTCCTCCCGACGATCTGGATGCCAGCGGCCTGGCGCAGCGGTTGCGCGAGCACGGGGCCGAGGCTTCCAAGGAGCCCAAGGAGGCCACTGGCCGTGAGAACCGAGCGGCCACCAAGGGCGTGGACGCGGTCTGCACGTCCAGGGACGGAGAGACCGAGGCCATAGGGGAAGCGCGCCCGGCAGGGACCCCCGGGGAGGGCTCCGGAGCCCGGTCGCCCCCGTCCCCAGTGCCCCTAGCGGAGGGGCTGGTGAATGGGGCGGGGGGGCCGAGTGGCGCGAGTGGTGCGGGCGGTGTGAGACTGCGACGGTCTTCCATCAATGCCGAGGCCGGGCCCGTGCCGCCGCCCAGAGCGCATGGCTCCTTCTCCCACGTACGCGACGCGGACCTGCTGAAGAAGAGGCGCTCTCGGCTGCGGAACAGCAACTCCTTTTCGGTGGACGACCCGGACTCGGGAGCCGCGGGAGCTTCGGCAGCCGTCGCTGCGGTGAGTGCCCCGCTTCCGCTGCAGCTTGAGGTGGTAAGGAGCTGGGCAAAGAAAGATCCTGAGTGGCCCCAAGGACAGAGCTGGTTGCGAGGGCAGCAGTTGAAGAGCAACGGGACTCAGCTGGATGCTGAAAGGCCTCTGATCAGAGGGACCCTTGTGTGGTATTCGTTCCTCATCCGGAGACATTGTTAAACCAAGGCCCATCGGGCCCTCAGTGGGCCTGGACTTTGCTGCCTGCCTGGGATATATGCCAGCGGTTTTTAATATTTGTCACCCATTTTGAGGAACCATGGGCTGTAGTAGGAAGTTTCCAGAAGGCTCTGTATTGTCAGCACTGGGCACAGTGCTTTGTGGACTATAGAGTTCAGGCCTTTCTCTGTAAGCGGCCCTTAGCAGGCACAATTGGGGCAGGGTGTCTGTCCTCAAGGGGTCCTCTTAATCCTAAGATTCTCCACCTTGGATCTGTAACAACAGATGCTGGAGACCAGGTTCCTTTTCTTCTGGAATGGGAGGTTGGAGGTGGAAGACCCTACTGGGGCCTGTGTCCCAGCCCCCACCCCCTGCAGGTCTCTGGTCATGTCACAGAGTGTTACATCACTGTGCTCAAGGGGAGACAGTCCTGGAGAGAATAGGGACTCATTGAATGACTCATGTCACTAAAGTCCAGGCTCTGGCTTTGAAGCTGGGGTCTATGACAGTAGGGGCAGTTCTGTCAGGCCACTTCATGCCTGCAACTGCCCAATAGTCCTTGAGTTCAGAAGAAGGAAGGGACTGCATTAGAAAAGGCTTTCTGGAAGAAGTAGCAGCCCTTGAGCTCGTTGATAAGATAGGAGGGCTGTCCCAGGTGAAAAATGGGACGGGCGGCTCTTAAGAGAAGGAACCTGCACAAGCAAAAACGGGGCAGCAGGCAAGTTCAGGGCTTGTTTAGGGAACTGCCAGTCATCTCCCAGAAGGTCCGCAGATGGTAGTGAGGCCAGGCTGAGGGCTGAAGTGTCAGGTCAGAGGCACAGGGTTGAGCCTGTGAAGGGGAGCCTGAGAGGGCCCTCATCAGAGATAAGGTAGGCAGGCATCAGTGGGACACAGCCACCTCTAGCCCAACTGGTGAGTGTCAGTGGCTCTTTAAATCTTAAAGGGGAAGCTCTAGCCTACATCCTTCTGGGACCTTGTCCCAGCATCTGGTTCTTCCAAGCCTGGCTCTCCTCTAGCGCCTGCCCCACAGGAGATAATGACCCAGGGGCCTGGGGAAGGCTCCTCCTCATTTGTCGCCCCCATCCCCAGTGCCCCACATGTACAGAGGGAGGTGGCTCTGCCTGGCCCCACCCTTGGGAATCCCCGTGGCACCTAGAAGCTGGAGTGGGGATGAAGCAACTCCATGAGAAAAGCAGATGTTTCTGGTGCAGCCCTGCAAGGCTTCCTGGAGGAGGGGCCACATTAAGGGTATAGAAAGAGGAATTTGGGTCAGACATGAGGAAGAAGCATTGGAATTCCCATCAGCGCGGGCGTGAGTAAACTCAATTCTTGCTGTGGTTGGCTTTCTCCTCTTCCTGCCTCTGCCTGCCTTGTCGGTTGAGCCCCCTCCTAATTGCTGGCCTGCCACATGACCCCTCACAGTGCCCATTCCAGGGAAGTATAACTACCCCATTTTCCACATTGGAACATCAAAGCTCAGAAAGATGAAGAGGCCGAGAATATGAACCTATGTTCTGAACCTGAGCTCTTAGGTGGCGCCCCCTGCTGGCCCAGCTCTGTGGATGCACTGTGCTATCCTGGGCAAACACATTTAAGCTCTGTGTGCTCTTTCCTTGGGGCCAAGAAACAAAGGTATGAAAGCCCTTTGAAAAGAAGCCTGCAGGTACTACTTAGGGTACTGTAAAAAAAGGGAGCTCCGTGTTCCCCTAGATGCCATTCTGGAGCCCTGCAACTTTTATGTCCTAGGGAGCTGGGGTTTCTCCCCATTTTACATATAAGGACACACAGAGAAAAAAATCCCAGTGGGAGTTCAAGCTTGGAAGTAAGTCTTGGGTGAAACAGCGCTGGACCCCAGATCATGTCTCATATGGGCTTCATCTCTGACCCTCAGTTTCCTTATCTGTAAAGTGAGGGTGGTAATGGTCCCCACTTCACCAGGTCGTCAGGTAAACTAAATGAAAAAGCAAGGTAATGTGCTTTACAGTGCCAACTCGAATTTTTGATAGATATTTGTTATTATTAATTATTATTTGATATTATTATTAATTAGTATACCCCGGGTGCATGATAGGGCCCAGCCCTATCTGAAGGAGAGCCCTTTGGTCAGGGAGACATGCATAGCCAACAGCATGGTAAAGTGTGGGTAGGATCAAAGCTGTCATGGGAAAGGCCTTGAAGGAAGCATCTGCCTAGACTGGGGACCAGGACAGGCTTCAGGAGGTAGGCAGAAAGGAATGTGGGAACCTGAGGGGGCCCCAGCAGGAGGCAAGCTGAGCTGAGTCATGAAAGTGTCCAGTTGGTTTAGGGCAATTTAAGATGGAGGCTCATTTCAGGCTGAGAGTACTTTTTAGGGAACTGAAAGTCCATCACTGTGGCATCTACATGGGACTCAGGATGGTAGGGGAATTGAGGCTAGAGCCACCCACAGGCTTTGGCAGTGAGGCTGAGGACTGAGAAGAGGTACAAAGAGAATAACGCCATCAATGAAGGTTTTGGGAAGACCTCTCAGTTGTGGCATGGGGGTAGAGTTGCAGGCAGGGCATAGTGGTGGCTGGTGCGGAAGCCACCACTGACCCAGGTTTTAGAGGATGGTACCCTGTCCAAAAATGTCCTGGGCTGCTTCCGAGAGGTTGCAGCCTGGGGCAAACAGTGAGGGGACTGGATACCTTCTCTCCACCCTGTGAAACAGAAAGGTGGTCAGAGCAGCATTGTCAAGGAACTAGAATGTCAGATGAGCTAAAGTGGGAGCCCCCAGGGCTGACAGTCCCGGCAGGATGACTATCAGGAGTGAGATACATCACCCTGGACTTCCAGGGTAAAATTTTCAGGTCCAGCCAACCTGGATTCTGGGTGTAGGAACGGATAATAAGGTGGGAGGGTGCCCCCTTTTGGCTGGGAGATGGAGGTGCTGGCTCAGGATGGCCTATATCCAAAGATGGGGCTGCATCGTGGCAGCTCAATGTCACTTCCAGGGGCCCTGGCATGATGAGAGTGCCAGCACTGGGTGACAGGAGTCAGGTGGCCTGGGGGGGGCTCCATGGAGGGGTTGGTAATCACCCTAGTCCCAGGAATGAGGACTTGGAGGCTTGGTGTGGACGGGCCAGGACCGTGGGCTGGGAGTGGAGGCCTGGCCTTTGCTTAAGGAGGTACTTTCCCCAAAAGAAGGTGGTTGGGAACTGTAGAAAGTGCTGGGTAGCAGGGTGTGGGAGAGCAGACTCTGCTTTCCCTCTGTGTGAGAGGCGCTGGCTGGCCCAGGCTGGGGCTGTCAGAGAACCCCTCCCAACCCTCACTGGCCCTTTTTTCCACAGGAAAGCCCAAGCCCTGACCCCAGCCCTACCCCTGGCCCACCCACAGCCACTGCCCTGCAGCAGCTCCCTGGTGAGTAGTTTGGGGGTGGGGTGACCCCCAGCTCAGCTCAGCAGCTCACAAATCCTGGGCTGAGGATTTCCTGGGGCATGTGTTGGCTGGAGATGCCTTAGCCTGTCTCTGTCTACAGGTGGCAGTACCCCATTGGAGGAGTTACCCCCAAGTCCAGGGGAGGAGGCTGGACTGGTATGTAGGGCTAAATGGGGGAAACTGGTGGGTGGGAACTTCCTAGGCAGAGCGTGGACTGAGCCCACCTATTCCCTGATCCCCTTTCCACCCCCAGCAACGCTTCCAGGACACCAGTCAGTATGTTTGTGCAGAGCTGCAGGCCCTGGAACAGGAGCAGAGGCAGATAGATGGGCGGGCTGCTGAGGTGGAGAAGCAGCTGAGGAGCCTCATGGAGTCAGGTGGGGCTTGCCTCTGGGGTCCACTCCTCAACACACACCGCCAGATCTAACCAGCCCTGCAGCTTCTTCGGGCCTTAGGAGGATCTGGGAGTAGGCCCAGCTGGAGTCATCGTCCCTTTTTATAGCTGGGCATGCTGAGCCCTAAGTGGGGAGCAGCTTGCTGGAGGCACACAGCTCAGACTTCAGGGATGCCACAAGGAAGCAAACCCCTCCCCCAACCCCCAGCTGTGCTGCTCTGACTGGCAGATGTCCAGTGACTGTCCTGGCCTAATTCAGGTGCCAACAGGCTGCAGGAGGAGATGCTGATCCAGGAGTGGTTCACCCTGGTCAACAAGAAGAATGCTCTCATCCGAAGGCAGGATCAGCTGCAGCTGCTGTGAGTACCAGTCCCAGCAGCGGGCCTGCTGCCCCCCCAACCCAGACCCCACCAGCTCAGGCCCTGCCCCCAGCTGGCGTAGGGAGGACGAGCAGAGGGACTCTTAGCTACTTTGGTTAGAGCTATTTGCTGCTTTCTTCTTTCTAAGAAAAATCTGTTTGAAAACCATTGTTCAGTCATCGTATTAATTTTTTGTGCTTATTTCCTGTATAAAGAGCATACCTTTTTATTAATGATAAAGCAAAGACTCAGAGAAAATTTTGGCCCAGAAGGGACAGAGCTAAGTCCTCCAATGGGACCCTCTGCCTTTTCAGTAGGAAAAACAGGCCTGGAGGGATCTGAGCAGGCTCCCAAGTGGAGTCAGAAGCAACTCTCCCTATTATTCTCCATGGTGGAGATGATTTTGCCTCCCTTTTGCATTGGGGAATTTTTATTTATTTATTTATTTGTTCCAGGGATTGAGCCCTGGGGTGCTACTGAGCCATATCCCAGCCCTTTTTATATTTTATTTGAGATAGAGTCTTACTAGGTTGAGAGCCTTGGCTAAGTTGCTGAGGCTGGCTTTGTACTCCCCATCCTCCTGCCTCGACTTCCTGAGTCACTGGGTTACAGGTGTGCACCACCACACCTAGTAACATTTTGGATAACTTTTTCAGAACAAGTTTAGCCTAATACTTCCATCCACATACCTTCTGGGTTGTTTCTTATTTTAAAAATGGGCGTGGACAGCATAAATATCCAATAATTGGAGACCAGTCAGAACAAAAGGGAATTCTCCATGGGGACTGGGGTATGCTTTTGAGATCAGCCTGAGGGCTAAGGGAACAGGTGGGGTGGGATGGGGCCACCGAGCCCTCAGAGCCCTGGGCACGCCCACCCTGTGCGCTTTCCTTACCTGACCTGCATCCTGCTTCCCAGCATCGAGGAGCAGGACTTGGAGCGGAGGTTTGAGCTGCTGAGCCGGGAGCTGCGGGCCATGCTGGCCATCGAAGGTGGGAAACAGGGCTGAGCGGGGCTGGAGGCAGGACAGGGCCACTGGGGCACTCCTGACTCAGGCTACTGCGCCCTCAGACTGGCAGAAAACCGAGGCGCAGCAGCACCGGGAGCAGCTCCTGCTGGAGGAGCTGGTGTCGCTGGTGAACCAGCGCGACGAGCTGGTCCGGGACCTGGATCACAAGGAGCGGATGTGAGTGGGGACCGGGGAACAGGAGTGGACCCAGGGCGCCGGTGTGGGTCGCGGGTCGGCTGAGGCTGGGCTGACTTGCACCTCTTCCCTGCCAGCGCCCTGGAGGAGGACGAGCGTCTGGCACGCGGCCTGGAGCAGCGGCGCCGCAAGCTGAGCCGGCAGCTGAGCCGGCGGCGCGAACGCTGCGCACTGAGCTGAGCCGCCCGGCCTCCCGGCCTCCCGGCCTCCCCGGCCTCCCCGGCCTCCGGGTCTTCCCGCCTCCCGGCCCGCAGCTTTGCTCGCCTCCCGCGGCCTGTGCTGGGGAGAACCCGGCCCTCGGGATGGGGGACGGGGCGTATGGCCTCGGGGCTGTTGGCGCCACTGCATCGCGGCGGCCGGCTGGACTCCCTGGCAGACCGACGGAGCTGCTGGGCTGGGCGCCGGCCAGGACGTTATTTATTTGTCGGTGTGAGTGTGTGTGCGCGTGTTCATGGGGTTCCAGGGGCGCCTCACAGAGATCTGCCCAATTGCAGGGCCCCCAGGAGGCCTCTGAGGAAGAGGGAGAGGGATGGCGGGGGACTGTCAACCGCACCCTCCTCCTGTTTCTCTCTCGACTAATAAAGTTGGACAAGGACAAGGACACACTGGGTGGGACCTTTCTCTGAACAATTTGAGATGGGACAAACGGAAAAGGGGCTCAGGGTGATGTTGTCTCTGCGACCTTAAACGCCGCAGACCAGGTTGGGGACTCCCAGATACATACTGAGGCATGACCAGGCCTCTCAAGAATGATGACTGGAGTGAAGTCCCATTTTGAAAGAAGGCACGAAAACAGTGGAGTTGTTGGCCATTTATTTTTTTTAACACTTGATTACATGAAGTTCTGGCACCCACCCGCCCCCATCTCCAGATTCTTCCCCAAGGACCCCTGGCCGTCTCCTCAGAATCTTCCATCTTAAAGGAGCTGAACTTGGTCACCTGACACCTGTCAGCAAGCTGGTGCCTGTCCTGCAGCTGGGGCATCAGGAGGCAGGGTGCTCAGAGACAGCTCATCCTGGCCCAGGATGCCACCTTGGTCCTCAGGGGTCATCGAGCCACTGGGCCCAAAGAACTTCACCATGGCACGGACCTGTGGCAGCTCTGAAAAGGTCTCCACCGCCAGCAGCATGGCCAGGAGCCCTAAGAGCAAGTAACCTGGAGAGAGAGGTTGCTAGGGTAGTTCTTGGGGTGCCCACAATGCTCCCCACCCACTTCCCAGTGTGATGACCTACCCTGGCACCTGGCTCCATTCACACCTCTCTCAACAATGCCACCAGGCTTTTACTGTATCTTTCAAACAATGCCCTGGGTTAGGGTCTCCCACCTGTGAAACTCAGGCCCCCAGTGGCTTATGGGAGTTGCAGTTCAGACTCTTTTCCCTTCTTACACTCACCAAGAAGTGCGAGCTGGCCAAGGTGGTAAATTGCTGGATGCAGGCCATGACCTTGACTGGGCAGCAAGTCCCCCAGCCCGATGGTGCTGAGTGAGCCAAAGCAGAAGTAGATGGCCTCCAGTAGGCTGCAGTCACCCTGCAGACCCCACAGCACCAGTGCTGGCAGTAGCACAAAGATGCAGGCCACCAACAGGCCCAGTCCTGCTGCCTGCAGCAGTGCAGCCTGTGCTGGTGCCAGCTGCCAGCGGGCTGCTACCCAGGTACCTGGGCAGCTAAGCACAGGCAGCAGGCAGTGGCGCAGGGTGGCCACAAGAACTAGGGAGGCTGGCAGCCCCAGGGATGCATAGACCACACAGAAGGCCTTTCCTCCTGCCGATAGTGGGGCCATGTGGCCATAACCTGGAGAAGACAGAGAGAGCAGGCAGTGAGCTCTTGAGTGGGATGGCTGCTGGGGGTCTTTACTGTTTTCATTGCCTCCCATAGAAAGCTGCCCTCTAGTGGCGGAAATTGCATGCACTCTTCAGGTTCTGCTGCTTCACTGGGTTAAGGTCAAGTTCCTTAACCTCTCTGAGCCATGTTTTTCTGGGAAATGAAAGGATTAAAGAAGACAATCTTAGCCAGGCTAAGATTCACACATGGTGGTTCACACCTGCAAGCCCTGGTACTCAGGAGACTGAAGGAGGATTGCAAGTTGAGGCCATTCAAGGCAATTTAGCCTATCTCAAAAAAAGAAAAAGGTCCCTTTGGCCATCTGTAGCTGGGACAATTCACAGAAATGCTGTCCTTCCCCAGAGAGATCCTGGCTTTCCCTTTTGCAGTACTGGTGATGGAAGCCAGAGCTTCACACATGCTATAGGCAAGTGTTTTACCACTGAGAAACCCCAACCTGATCCTGGCTTCCTAAGAGATTGCTCAGCTCTGTCCTTAACCTGTACTGCCAATCCACAGCTAGTGGAATGTCACCCACTGTTTCATCACCCCAAAGTGCATTACATCTTTCTATGTTCTGGGTCTTGTGCTGGAATCTGAGTCTACCTGGGCCCTCACTTTTGGTTGGAGAGAGAGGCAGGAAAAACAGTCACGAAGGTGGACACAAAGTACTACAATCAGGCAGCATGCATGAGAGAGGTCAGTTGGGGCCAGGGAAGCACATGCAAGGCAGGGGCAGAGCAGAGCATGCTGGGAGAACAAGATCAGCTAGTTGAGAGGTTGCAAACTCCAATGCCCACAGAAACTGACCGTGAGATAAGAGGGAGAGGTGAGTGGTGGGGACTGGGATAGGCTGGAGGGCATGTGCTTTGCCTAGAGACAGGACCTGGACCAGTAACATACTGGACCAGTATGTTACCTTGCAGGGATTCAGACTCAGTATAAATTGTTTCTTGAGTTTCCAAAAGAAGGTAGGTGTGAGGCCCAGAGTTTGATCCCCAGAAACACACGCACTACACACACACACACACACACACTAATAATGATAATAATTCAGACACTTTGCAGGACAAAACTAAAACCCAGGGCCATTGCCTCATTTCTCTGGGCTAAGTACATGCTGTTTTCCTCAACCAGGAATTCCTTCAACCCTCATGGCTGTGCCTCCTGCCATGGCTAACAGCTCATCGGGGATTCCTCCACTATCTCCTCCTGAGCTGGTAATCCTGGTCTGTGCTTTCTCCCTCCATCCAATAGTCCATCCTTTGGTGTTGTCTCAGGCTCATGGGTCTGAGTATCTCTCCTGGATTTCAAAGGGTGCCTGGGGAGGCCACACCCCTTCTGGCAGCTGAAGTGGAGGCACCAGTTGGGGTGTGTTGGTATGGGGAGCCCCAGTTGTGATGTCAGGCCTGATAGGGCTAGGCTCTGTCTGGGGCTTTGGGGTTGGGGGAAGGGCTGCACCCCCAGGGACCTCAGGGAGCCAGGGCCTCAGGAGCCAGCTCCTACTGGGCTGCCTGGCAGCCTTACCCGTGGTGGTGAGGATGCTGGCAGTGAAGAGGAGGGCCGAGGGCAGATTCCAGTTGCTGGCCTCAGAACTGTTGCCCAGGCTGGAGACTCCGTGGGCTTGTGCTCTCAAGGCCACGCCCAGTAGCTCTTCCAGTGCTCCAGGTGGCAGGCAGGCCCCATAATCTGCCTGGAAGGTAGCCAGCTCGGCCTGGAGCTGGGTCTGGAGCTGCAGCGCTGGGGGGCCCTCCAAGGCCTGGAGTACCACAGCCCCAAGCCCCATGGCCAGCAGGTGGGCCACAACTAGGAGCATGTACCGGGCCCAGGGCCTCAGACCCCCCATAGCGTGGCGCTAGTCTGGTCACCTGGGAGCTGGTGGCTCCTCTGCAAGCACCTGGGAAGGGCTCCGCAGGGCGGTGGGGAGGAGGCGCTGTGTGGGTGGCTGGGCAGAGCCGGGGTGAGTGTGAATGGAAGGGTGATGAGCCTGAGCACTCCTCCCAGTTTCTGGGGCAAGACTTTTGCCCATTTCAGGCAGCTGGGGTTGGGGCAGGTGGAGGAAGGCGCTGCAGTGAGGGAGAGGGCAGGACGCTGAGGCTGAGAGAGAACCTCACATTTATTTAAGGTCATGTTCACCAGTCACACATACCCCATCTCATTCAGATACCGAGGAAGAGGACAGACACAGGTCCCTTTCCTCCTGATGTTCACACAGGAAACGTATGAACCAAGACGTGACATCTTCACATTGTTCTTGGAGCAAACAGCCAGGTCATGGGAAAGCTCCTTTAAGAAGGTGACATTTCAGCTGGGGAATGAAAACAGGCTAGTCATGGTGGGAAGAGCCTGCGGTGGGGAAGGAGCAGGGGGCTCACCATGGGGAAGGAGCAAGGATACAGGCCCAGAGACCTATGGGGGGGGACCCTGGGGGTGGAAGGACAGTGGCCAGGGCAGAGGAGTGGTGGGATTCAGGATGGATGTGGTGGGGGCAGGGAAGGTGAGTCTCTGCTACACTGCAGACAGAGCCTGGCTGCCATGGCATGCTGGGGCAGGCAGAGGAGCCCGAGCCACACTCCCACAAACTCTTGTAGAAGCGTTGAAAATGCCAGGATGGGTGGACTTATTTTGCGTGTGTCCAGATTGTGGATGAGAAAAACACAGGCAAATCCTCAAGACACTGCTTCCCGGCCTGTGGGCTCCTAAGTTCAGAGATCTACCTGGGGTGGGGACAGCACATCCAGGGATGGTGACCTGGGGAGGCGACTCTGCAGCTGGCCCCAGAAGATAGGCAGAGACCACCCAGCAACAGGGAGGATCAAGGCAAACAGTTGCTTGAGTGCAAACACTCAGGGTGGAAGTCTGGGAGAGGTGGGGAGAAGGTAGGCGAGGCCAGCATGTGTGGGTGTCAGGAGGGCTGGGGCAGGTCTCAAGACAGGGGTATGGTACAAGGTATCTTGGCCTAGGTCCAGGCCATCTGCCCACTGTGCTAGGGGCATGAGGACACCATGGTCCTCGGATAGCTTGAGTCTCCTGGTTACCTCCAAGAAAAGTGTCAGGCTGCATTTGGAGAGACAGCTTACCAGTTTATTTGGCTTCATTGGATCCCAAGACCAGGGCCCCCACCCTGGCTGGGGTAGCAGGAAGGCACCCAGAGAGCCCCGGCCCCACTGACCCCCAGGGCAGGGGGCCCAGGCACTAAGCCCTTGGGGCAGGGGCCACAGTAGCAGGACTTGGTCAAAAGTGCTGGTGACAGCTGAGGCTGGCCCCTCCCCTGCACCTCCCTCCTCCCTACACCCTGGGGGCAATTCCCTGAGACAGGCTCTGGTCCTCCCAACCAGCTGGGTACAGTGTCAGGCCCCAGTGGGGCAAATAAGTCAAGGGGACCTATAGGTCATAAATTGGGGGGGGGTGCAGGCCCCCCATCCAGTGTGATGGCTTCCTGTGCAGTGTAGTGTTCCTGACCCCCAACAGGGGGCGGAGTCTCTGGGGGAAACCAAGCAGCTCCAGATGTGTGCCTGGCTCCTGTTCCAGTGTATGCTGTGGCTCCTCCATGGCAGGTGGGACAGAAGACGGCCTGGCCCACTCAAGGGCCGGCCTCTGGTGCCCATGGGGCTTGGGCACCCATGTCTTTGGTCTGCGCCCTGCAGTCCTGGGGGCCTCCTCGGAAGGGGTTGGCAGGTGGGGAGTCCCAGAAAGGATCTGAATCTGGGAACAAGGTCCAAGGTGCCCGTCTGGGCGCAGGCTGTGGTGAGGGCAAGGGTGAAGGCCGTGGTCCAGCTGACACGAAGCTCCACGGGTCAATGCGGCTGCGAAGGGGTGAGGGCCGAGGTCGGCTGATGAGGCCCAGGGGTGGTGAGCGTGGAGTGCCCGGGGTGCCGGGAGCAGAGCGTGATATTCCTGGTGGGGGTGAGACAGTGCCTCCTATGAGGGTGCAGGAAGAGCACAGGGTTAGGCAGTCACCACCTCCTAGGTGCTGACTAGCTCACTGCAGCTTGAGGAACCAAGGCCCGAAGGTGTCACCACCTTTCTCAAACTACACAGTGAGCTACTTGATTCCTAACTTCCACAGCCCTATATTCCAGAATGCAACTGTTTATTACTAAGTGGCTCAGAGCAGGGGTATGGAGCAGACAGGTCTGGCCTTAGATTCCAACCCTGCCACTTACAAGTCTGGGAGCCCAGAGTCCCTGACTCTCTGTGCTTTAAATTTTATCATCTAAAAAATGGGTACCATAAAGTGCTCATGGCAATCTTTAGACACCTTTTCTCTAAAGGACCACCATGGACAGTAACTGGCACAATTAATCAACCTGTAGGAGTTGTCCTTGTCACCATCACTTCTATTATTTTATAGCTAGCTGGCAGCCCATCTTGCCCCTGACCACCGTACAGTTGAACCTAGAACTCAGTTCTTTACATGTGTCCCCAGTGCCCTAAGGGACCAGCTTGGGCTCCAGCAGACATCTGTGGTCCTGGCCTTGGTTTCCTAAAAGTTCCCAAGCAGTTCTTCCCCTCTCTGGTGGCTGCCATCTCAGCATCTGCCCTAGGGCCACTCACCACGTGTCTCCTCCCGCCGGGCACTCTTGGCTGACGGCTGGCCGGTGGGGACACCCAGGTCCAGCAGCAGGGGCCCAGGGGTGGAAAGGCCTCGGGCATCCTGCGTCTTGGGAGAGAGGCAGCCGATCGGGGAGGCAGGAGGCTCTGTGGGGCATGGGGAGGTCACCGGCACAGGGGTCACTGTTGGGGGCTCTCCGCGCTCGCGGCCCAGACCCCCAGGTGGCTGCAGGTCTCGGCCGAGGCCTAGGGAGGCGAGCAAGGCGGTGCCGCGCAACAGCGCCCGCTGGATCAGCTTGGGCGTCCCGGAGCTGCTGCCGCGCTCGGCTGGTCCCGGCCTCCGCGGCTCTTCGGGCTCTGGGCTGGGCCGTGCGGGGTTACCTGTAAGCAAGGGTGTCACAGGTTAGGCCACGGCTGGCACAACACCCTGGTGAGGGTCTGGAAGAAGGACCGAGTTCTAGAAAAAAGGACTGAGTTCTGCTTCCCAGCAGCATTTCCATGGGTCAACTCCTTTTCCAGGGGTGCCCCTCCCATCTGATACCCCCCAGCCTTCCACCAGCTGGGGGAGCCTGGGAAAGCCTGGGAGGCAGCCAGGCCCCTGGGAAAAGGACAGGAGTTCAAGAAGTAGCAGGCTGAGGCCAGTGACCAGCCAGGTCAACTTCCAGGCCCCGGTGCCAGGTTGGCCCCATTGCCTGGGACCAGTACTGTGCTCTGTGCCAACTCCCTCACCAGCTGGGCGGCCCTGGCCCTTCTGCTCACCCACCCCCACTCCAGCAGCAGTTTGTAGGGAGCTCACAGGTAAATTCCAATGTACACAATAGTTCCTGGGGGCATGCATCAGTGTCGCTATTCCAGAAATGAGGAAACGGAAGCTCAGAGAGGTTAGTTCCTTGCCTGGGGTCACAGCTAGCTTACAGAGGATGTGTTTCTGCTAGGTATGAGCTGGATGATTTAGAAATATCATGTTGTCTGATCCTTAGGCCCCAGAGGTTCCAACACAAGGACAGAGACAGAGCTAGCCTAATTTGTGCAGGGGCAGCAGTGCCTTTGTGACCCACCCCTTGCCTACAAGACTTTACCTAGATTTAAGAATGAGTGTCCTTGGGGCTGCAGTTGTGGCTCAGTGGTAGAACACTTGCCTAGCATGTGTAAGGCACTGGTTAGATCCTTAGCACCACATAAAAATAAATAAAGGTATTAAAAAAAAAAAAAAAAAGAGTGTCCTGTCTTTGGGGTTAGGATTGCCTTGACTCCATTCCAGACTACCTGGGGGCGGGGTGGCAGTGCTGGGGAACTGGCCATGAAGGGAGTCACAGGGCATCTATGATGGTCTCCTTAAAGTCCTGATTTGGTTACATCCCTCCTTAGCTCTCTACTGCCATCAGAAGAAAGTCCAGCCTCCATAGCTGGGCTGTCAAAGTCCTCCCTGGCCTTGCCCCTTTTGTCCTTTCCCTCCCCCTTGGTTCATGGACAGAGCAGGCTCTCTGGAGTGCCACTCTGTGTTGGGTGGCAGGAGAAAGAGATGCAAGGCTGGAAATGCTCTCTGCTGTGAACAGGACTTGGTGTGGAGGTCCTGCTGTTAGCCACAACCCTCACCCAGTTCTCTGCCTCCCATCTTCCTCCCAATCACCCTTGACTACTGCCACTCAAAGGCCCTGTTGCAAACCTGTTAAAAACAGGGTTCCTCTTAAAACTCATCATTTCCAGGCCTTTCCTAAACAGGCTCTGCCTACCTTTCCAGCTTCATTCTCTCCTCCACTGGCGCGCTGCCTCTGGCCTGACACTCCTTGGCTTTCAACATTTCTCTGAGTTTCAGTGCGTTTCCTTCATGCCTGTACTCTTGCTATTCCTTCCGGCTGGCACATGTTTCCCACCTCAACTTTCAGCTGACCTCTTACTCACTGTCAAAGACCCAGCTGAGGGCTGGGGTTGTGGCTCAGTGGTAGAGCTCTCGCCTAGTACACCCTGGGTTTAATCCTCAGCACTGTGTAAAACTAAATAAATAAAGGTATTGTGTTCAACTAAAAGAAATAAACATTAAAAAAAGACCCAGCTGAGACATCACCTCCTCTGTGAAGCCTTCTCAGAATCCCCCTGAACCTGTGTAGCTGTTGTCCATATTACGCCTTTTAGAGCTACATTCTCAATACTTACTAATCCCTACTCTGCTTGTTTATGAGACTGCCTTCTCCACCAGACTAGAATATCCCCAGGGTCATGGCAGTGTTGATCTTAGTGTTGACAACTGGCTCATAATGCATCAATATGTATTTGAGGGAAGAGTCTGTGCTTAAATTCCTTTCAACAACCATAAGAGGTAATCACTAATTCACAGGGGAAGAAACTGGCCATTTATAGTGAGTTTAAACAGAAGAGGGGAGAGACACATTTAAACAAGCACGAAGCCACCTGCAGTGGTGTACATTTGTAATCCCAGCTACTCTGGGGGCTGAGGCAAGAGGATCTCAAGTTCAAGATCAGCTCAGGCAACTTAGTGGGACTCTGTCTCAAGATAAAATAAAAAGATGGGTTAGCTCAGTTGGTAGAATGGCTGCCTTGCATGAACAAGGCCCTGGGTTCAAGCCACAGCACCACAAAAACAAAGGGCTGGGAATGTTGTTCAGTGGTAGAATGTCCCTAGATTGAATCCCGGTATCAAAGAGAGAGAGAGAGAGAGAGAGAGAGAGAGAGAGAAACCCAGGGTTCCAGAGGTAAGCAACTTGTGCCAGGTAATTCTCCTAGGATTCTAATTTGCTTCTAAGCTTCCCAGCAGTCAGAGTTGGCAATCCTGTTGTTTAAAAGAAGGCAGTATGACTCTTCTTGACCCAGAGGAGAAGGTGAAATTGCTTCCATGGGGCCTCATGGAGAGGACATGTCCATGAAGTGGTTAGTGGCTCCAGGGCAACCAGCTTCCCAAGGCAGTTTCTGTCAGTGTGGGCTGAATATATCCTGCCAAAGTGCAACTCACTGCAACAAGGTCCCCAGGGGTCAGAGACATCCAGCTGGAATCAGGGTAGGGAGGTTGGGGGATGAGGCTCCCCACAATGGCTTATGCCTGGGACACTTTCACAGAATCTGGGACCTCTGTGAGGCCTCACTCTTTGAAAAGTCAGATACCTGAAAAGCCAGGTATCTGACTCTGTGGGTAGCTGAGAGGCCAAGGTCATGTACTCTTGTGGGCCCAGATGGAATCAAGTGCTCAGTCAGACTAAGCTGGGGCAAGTGGCGTGCTTTTAGGCAAAGTGGAAAGCTTGAGGAGACTGGGCTTCAGGTCCTTGTCGTTCCTTTCCTTGGGAGCTCAAGGAGGACAAGGCCAGAAGACTTTGGAGAACACAGTCAGGGACTGCTTCAACTCTACACACCTAGATTGACAAGACCTCAAGTTCTCCATTGCTCTGCTTTGGGGCAAGTCAACTCACCCCCCACACACAGAGGGTGAGATAGACCAACAGCCCCTGCTCTGTTGGGTGTCCTAAAGCAAACAACTTCCATCTTTTTGTCTCAGTTTCTTCTTCTGTAAAATGGAGCCAATAATAATACCCACCTCACAAAATTGCCTGGCACATAGAAGCCAATAAGTACTAGCTGATATTATTACTATCAAATCAGATAATGGTAGAGTGGGCATGGGTTGGGAGGGGTGAGTCTAAACTGATTGTTGCATAGGGATTTGGTCCGAGGGCCACTAAGCTAGGTGGAGCTGGGGCTTCTGAGGATAGTACCTGGGTTGGTACAAGGATCCACAGGCAAGGGATGCCACCTTCTACCTCCTGCTAAACTCAGCGTTGAGCTGAGCCCTCAGCCCTCTGATGCAGGAGTTCTGCTCTTTGCCAATCCTCTGGCTTCCTAAGCAGTTCAAGTGAGAAATGCTTTTTCAAGTGGAAGCTTCTGAGGAAATGGGCTGAGGAGAAGGGAGCCAGAACATCTCTTGGTTCCATGCTTTAGCTGGGGGTTTCAGGCAGGTTATTTCCCTCTGTTTTTCTTTTTTTTTTTGAATAGGGGATTGAACCCAGGAACCCTTCACCCCTGAGCCACATCCCTAACCCATTTTATATTTTATTTAGAGACAGGGTCTTGTTAAGTTGCTTAGGGCCTCTCTATGTTGCTGAGGCTGGCTTTGAACTTGCAATCCTCCTTTCTTAGCCTCTTGAGCCACTGGGATTTCAGGTGTGCACCACAGTGCCCAGCTTATTTCCCTTCTTGCATCCTCAGTCTCCTTATCTCTAAAATAGGGATAACCCTGGCACCTTCCTCACAGGTTGAACAGAATGCCTGACACACAGAAAAGCCCCAAACTTCCCCAGAGGCAGTGACAATGGGCCCTGGATCCCTGGCTATTCTGCTCATCACCTTCCCTACCCACAGGCTCCCTAGAGGGGATTCTGAGAAGCACAGTGTAGCAGTCATTTGTTTGGCCCCACCCCATACGGGCAGTTTCCTTCCTCTCTCTGGACCTTGCTTCCCTCAGTGCCAAATGGTGGGGGGCAGTACCATTCCCTGCTTCCTTTTCTCCCTAGAGCCAGCTGAAGGTACAGTGCTGCCACAAGGCTAGGAAAGAGCCTCTGGCAGGCCAGGCTTGAACAGGGGGGACTAGTCTCTTGGCCCAAGGCCTGGGCTGAATCCAGCTTGGCTGTGGGCCTGTAGGTCAGACCTAGGACTGCTCTGCCTAATCTCAGATTCAATTTCCCAGTTGCTAGAATGAGACCTATCAGGGCAGGATTCCTGCTCTGTCTGGTCACATTTCCTGGCCTTCCCCAGCCCAAAAAATCCTGTTGGGGGAGACAAGGCCACTCACCATTGAGTGTTGGGGGTGTGGAAGGAGATCCTAAGGGGGAAGAGTCATCTGAATCCAGGTACCACGCGGCTTCATCCATGCGGGACCTTCTCCTAGCGAGGGAAAGGGTGGGGGGGGGCGTTTTGTGAGTCTGAGGAGTGTGGGGGAGGCAGATCATGCTCAGGTAGGAGGCATTCAGTCACTCACCTCCCATTCTGGGCCTCTCCAGGTTTGGGAGAACTGGGACCCCAGGCCCAGCAAGCTCGTCGCTCTCCATTGCTTGAGTCCTCCAGACGACGGGGAGACTGGCGGCCCCATGCCTGTCCAGGTTCTGCAGGTTCCACTGTGGAGGAACCCGATGAAGTCTGAGCTGATCCTTGCTCTCCCCCATCATGAGGCTTTGCAGGCAACTCTACAGGATGCAGGGCAGGCTGGGCCCCAGATTTACTCCCAGGGAGGGGACTTGTTGGGACAGGTGGGTCTGGGTCCTGGGGCCAGCAGTGAGGTGGGGCATCTCATTAATCCCTCTGATGACATTTGCTGTTTATAAGTTAGTACAGAGAGTGACACAAACTGCCTTATTAGCTATGTGGCAAATTACTTTTTTCACTTTTCTCCTGTATGAAATTTAAGATAGTAATGATATTTATTTAAACAAATTCTTGTAAAGAATTAAAATTAGCAAAGGATTTAAGAAAATGACTAGTACATAGTTGTTTAACTAAGAAATTTAGTTTTTTGGTGAACTGAGAGGCAACAGTCTAGATGGAAGGGGAAGGAACCCTGGAGCAGAAGGGAAAGGAGACAGTAGGCGGAGTCTGCCTCCAGGGATAAGGTGTGACACAAAGATTAGGAGCTAGGGGAAGAGACAGGAGGCTAAATTTCTTACACTGGATGGCCCGGAACCGGGGGAAGGTCGGCGAATCCCCAGCCCCAACCTCAAAGACGTTTCTTCTCCTGTCAAGGCCAGGTGAGGCCTGCACGGTGATGCGGTGCTTGAAATCTGGGGTTTGGGGAAGGAGAGAGTAGGTGCAGGTTTGTGGTGGAGAGCTACGACTCCAAACTGCACGTGACCGTGATCTCCGTCTGCTCCTAAGCCACCCAAGGCAGCGGCACAGTGGCTTTGTGACAGCCTCACCACTTCCCGGGAACCCAGACTTTGAATAAGGAAAGCTGAAGGACCAGACTCCACGAACCTGACCAGCCCAGCAGAGTCCAAGGTTCCCCAGGGGCGGCCCGCCACGCCCCCTCGGTCTTCCCAGAACAGTCATGAGCTCCGCCCCTTCCCGGCCGCAGCCACTCCCAGGCCGAAATGCAAATATTCCCGCCAGAACCCACCCACAGATACAAAAAATACTCAGGGTCCCATCCTTCCAGCCTTCAGCTCCAGGGTCCACCCACCAACACCCTACACCAATCCCAGTGCGGCCAGGACAAGGAGCTGACTCCACCCCTCCGCCCACGCAGCCAATGGGTTCCGCGACCCTGCCCCTCAGTGCCTACAGCCAATGGCGGGCGGAGTCCTGAGGCCCCGCTTACCCAGGGGCATGCTGATGCGCTCGCCGCCGTCACGCGCCCGGAGCTTGCTGCGCTTGAAGGTGCCGCGGCGACGGCGGACGTGCGGCCGTTCGCGGTCCACTTGCTGCAGCAGCAGCGTCAGCTCGCGCTCAAACACCTCTAGCTCCCACTGAGCCAATAGGTGCTCGCGCCGCCGTAGCTGTTCGGCTTGTGATCGCTGCTCGCGCGCCGCTCGTGTCAGCTCCTCCTCGCGGCTCAGTAGTTCCTGCGCCCCGGACAGGGAAGGCGGTGGGGTCATCTCGGCACTGACCCCTGTCTGCCCCACCGAGATTCGGAAAATGCTTTCCGACTCTGGGTACCCGCGAGTCCACTCACCTTTTCCTTCGCCCGCAGCTCATCGAAGAGGCCCTGGATCTCTCGTTTCCAGCCTTCTTGCATCGAATGGAAGGAGTCCCGCGGCATTTCCCGCAGGACCTGCGCCTCTAGCGCCTCCAACTGCTGCAGGATGGAGGCGAAGTCGGGCCTGCGGTGAGGGTCCTGTGCCCAGCAGTCTAGGGGCACGGCAGGGAGGGGGGACAGAATAAGAAGGAGGTCTGTGGGTGGATGTGTCCTGGACCAGGGAGCTCTGCCCCTTAGCTGCCCACCTTGTCCTCTTACCGGCCATGAGCTGTGCGAAGGGTTCTGGACAGGTGGACGGGATGGGCAGTGTGAGCTTGTTAACAGCTACACCATAGGCCACAGCAAGACAGTCGATACCACGGTAAGGCACTTCCCCAGTCAGCAGTTCCCACAGCAGCACCCCAAAGCTGTGGGCGAGACAAAGGGTCTGTGTGCCCTTCTCTGCTTACTTATTACTATTTCACCCCAAAGCAATGAGGAATTAAATGGACCTTCCCCTGGTCTCGGCTTGTCTGCCCACCCAAAGGCTTTGGCAACCACTTCTGCCCTTTGTAGCCCCATAGCAGACCCTGTCCAGTCCCCCGGGCCACACCTCCAGACATCGCTGCCCTTAGAGAAGGTGGAGGCCTTGATAACCTCAGGAGCCATCCAGGCATAGGTGCCTGCAGCACTCATTTGCGTGGTTTTATGCCACTCTCGAGCCAGACCAAAGTCAGTGATCTTCAGGGTCTTGTGTTCCATGTCATCTCCTTCAATGGGCTGCAGCAGCAGAACTGGGGAAAAAGTGGGGCAGGATTGTGGGTGTTTCAGGATCAGGTAGTGGGGACAGGGGAAAAGCTGGCAGCAAACTGTCATCTGACCGATGGCCTGGCCAGAGGTGATGTGGTCTATATCTTGCCCTTGAGAGCTTACAGCTGGGGATGGGTAAATTCTGGGACATATTTTCTTAAGGTCTACTAGAGCCACATATTTTACACACAGCCCTAGCGCTCAGAAAAAAAAAATCACTGAGGTAGGTGTTATTCCTATTTTAAAGTTGATGAAACAGTAGGAAAATGACTTGGCCAAGGTCATACAGCAATAAAGTAGAGATTCTACCCTGCTCTGTGTAGTTCAGCTCATGTTCTGAATTTTCCCTAATACTACATGAATAAAACTCAGCAATGTTCTTAAGCAGATTCTTAGTATTTGTGAGTCTGATTTCCAGAGAAATCCATGAGTGTCTTGTCATTTTGCTGAGACAGGAGTGTGAATCAAACACACCCCTGGGAGGGGGAGCAGGTAGGAAGCCCTTGGTAAGCAAGAAGCCCAGCAGTCACCACTGGCCCCTGGTGCCTACATCATCCTGTGGCTAATGCAGCCACTCCTAGTAGAAAGGCTCCAGAAGATAACTATTAAGGCTGCAGGATGTGAGGAGAAAGGGAGGGGTGGTGATTCTTGGCCATAGAGGAGGAGGCTATGGCAAGTAGGAGTGGATGGTCAGACTTGGTAGGGGTGCTTGGCTTTGACTCAAATTTGGGCCACCATACTTGGTACAGGAAGACAAAGAAGCAACTTGCAGATCTCTTGCCAGGACAAATGCAGCTCGAGGGAGAGCAGTTTTAGAGGAATAGAAAGAAAGGTCACAGGATTGTCAAGGGTCTGAGAGGGACCTTCTACTTTTCTGGTTATAGCCAACTGCATGGTGGAGAGCGACATCTGTTTGCTGCACGTGCTCTCCTGCCCAGGGTGTCACTCAGCACTGTAATGGGTACTGGGGGGGTGGCGGGCAAAGGGGAAGGGTACCTACCCAGCCAGGTGAGTTAGGGAGGTCTTCTCAGCCGAGGTGGCAGACAAGGCATTCAATTTTTGAGGGCCTAAAGCCACAGCTCCCGATCCTGCTGCTGGCTAAGCCCTGTGGACCTTGTTGGGGATCTGGCACTGCTGTCTAATCCTTCCACCATCCCTGGCTGTTTCCTTAAGGGCCTCCCATCATTGGCTGCTACAGTTCTGGCATTCCTCAGAGCCCAGCCTCTCTTCAGCTTCTGTGCATCATCCCTAGGCCATCTTAGCTCACCCAGGTGCCAGTCCCCCTCCCCACTGGCATCTTCCATACTTAGAGCTCTAGGCCAGACAAGAGCCAATTCAGTGCCCATTAGGTGCTCCACCTGGCATTCATGCGCTCTCAATAGCCTTTATTATGCCTGGCAAATGTTCCTGTCATTTCTCCTAATTAAGAGAATGGTCTCAAAATCCACCCATTCCTTGGAGCCAAACTGGGGCTGAGTCCTGCAGAGTTAATGCAGCTCAAGATGACCCACCTCAGAGGATCATCACAGAAGTAAGCTATTCATACTTTTTAAAAGCCTCCACTTGGGGTCTGACATCTGGCAAAAGAGTTTTCAATGCCGGCTGCCTTACAGCGTCTGTACTCACATCTGTCCCATCCACTCACTCCACTGCACCCTTGATCATTTCTTACTTCCAGCTTCACAGCGGCTTCTGGTCAGGCCAGGAGGCTCAGCACAGCACCAGTTATTAGCCCTGTGCAATTTCATCCAAGGAACCACTGTGTAGGCAGGAGGGGCAGCAGGCACACATACCTTTTCTGGAGCCCAGGCCCACTTTTCTGGAAGACTGGCCCTTGCTCTAGCCTCCTGTGTGACCCATCAGACTGGTATTGCACTTTCTGCACCAGTGTCTCAGTAGGGTGACCTGTTTCTCTCACTTTTTTTCTCTAGAGGAATCTGAGACCCGGAGAAGAGCAGCAACCCCCCAAAGCCTCAGATTTCTTTCTACTACCTCCCCAGCCCCACCACTGGCACCTGCTAAGCCTCAACCTCATTTTGGCACCCCCTGCTTCTCCTCCAAGCTGTCTTTCTGCCTTCCTGGGCCTCGAACTCATCTCATCCTAAGTTGCTGTTGTGACCCTGGGCATGGGAGATTAGGGGGTACACTAGAGAGCTCAAGGCTGGGACAAGCCTTGCAGCCCCTCTTAGTGCACTTTAGCCTCTCAAAGGGACCTGACCACCAACCCCACCCCCCCACCAAGCTGGCCTCTATGGAGCCTGGGAGTGGCCTGGGCAGTTCACACCTCTTCCGCTTCCCTCCCGTGGTCCTTACTTCTCCTTTCTGGGAGGCCTGGGCAGGTCTACAACTGGGAGGGGGGTCCTTCAGGGAGAACTGGGGGAGGTCAGACCCAGGCCGGGCTGGCTGGTCAGTCCTGTGACTCGTGGGCCTGGAGAATTCCCCCTTCTCTCCCCGCCAGGCTTCCTCACAAGGCCCCCATTGTCCAGGAAAATCACGCCATTGTTTCCTGCCTGTGCCCCCCCATCTCAGAGACTCCCCCCACCCCAATCCCGCAGACAGCAACTTGGGCCTAGGACTGGGGTCTGTGATGTTGGATGCCAGGCTCAGAGGCCCAGGGCACCTTGCTTGGCCTTCACCACTACCACCCAGACTCTTAGATGGAAGCAGGGGAACTGAGGGGGGCAGTTGGGGGAGCAATCCCTGTCTCCTTCCTCTCTGGCAACCCCCCCACCCCCAGCTCTTTCCTCCCCTGCAGGCAGCTGGGCTAGGGAGGGAACAGGGACTGGAGCAGGGGCAGGAAGCCAGCCCAGGGGCAGCAGGAAACACAGGAAGCAGTGGGGAGGGTGGGGAGCAGGGGCCTGGGCTATTGTTCCATTTTTTCTGGAAAGAAAACGGAGGAAAAACAGAAGACAGGAGCCCCCCCACCCCTTGGGCCTTCGGGGAATCCCCTTCAGGCTAGAGCTGGGAGTGGGGGTTCCTGGACAGCTAGTAAGGCTTGGGGGGCAGACTGCTCCCTCTTATGGATGAGTGTGTGGGGAACGGCAGGTCTCCCCTGGTCTCTCCAACCTTGGCAAGGACTCAGGTATCATTGAGTTTTGGTGCTATCCTCTCCCTAGCCCCTTGTCCAAGGAATAGAAGCTCAAAATATCTATGCTGCTTTCCAAGTGCTTCTCCAGACCCCACTGAGCCTCCTCCACACCCTCACCCCTAAGTTTCCTATTGCTACTACTCTCCAGCCTGTGCCCTGGTGCCTGCCTACTTGCCTCTGCTTTGGTTAGGCTCTGCCTGGACACCCAACCAAGTGCTCTGGCCTGGCAGGGAGCTCACCTGTTTTGGGAAGCTCTCGCTTGTCTTGAGCCCATGATGGGACAGTATGTAGAGGGCCTGAGGTGGTGGGAGAAGGAGCCTCCCTTAACCAGGCACTCCAACCCCAAATGCTGATCCCAGGCTGGGTCTTCCTCATGATCTTGCCCTCAAACGTCCACATTTGAGGACCTGTCTGGCATCATGCACCAGGGTTTGCCCAGGCTGATAAGCCATTTCAGTCTCCTGGTGACTCCCTTTTTAGAGAGGCTGAAATTGAGGCTCTGAGTTGAAATAGCCAGCTAGGGGTCATGCAGTCAGGGAGGGATGGGGCCAGGATTCCAGCCCTGGCCCCAGACTTGACCTCCACAGGATCTCTCCCCTCTGATATGTGTCCTGGAGGAGCTGCCCACCATGTACAGGAGAGAGGAGGAGAAGAATGGGGGAAGTAGAGCAGCAGAGCCCCCACATGTGAACTTCAGGGGGGGAGGAGATGAGGAGCACCTCCAGGGGATGTCCTTAAGATAGTGGCCACAGGTGGGATGGGGATGGCCAACTTGAGAGATCTCAATGTCATTTTCTTTCTTTATTTTTTGGGGGTGTGGTGGTGCTGGGGGTTGAACCCAGGGCCTCATGCACGCTAGGCAGGTGCCCTACCAGTGGACTATACTCCCAGCCCCAAAGAGAACTCAATTTTCTAACTTGCCCAAACTGTAGTTACAGGCGGGAATCAAGGACTCCTTCTGGGGCTGAGGTAAGGAGACCCTGCGGGGTGTCTGGGGTTCCTGCCATGGGGCCAGTGTGAGGCCATAGGTAACCCTGGTCAGCAAAGACTCCCCTAGGACAGGAACTCTGGCCTCCAGCAGATCCCTGGCTAGATTCAAGCTGAGGGTTGGGAGGAGGTGTGTGCTGGGGCCATGCCACCCCTCCCACCCGCTGTCCATGCCACTCAAAACTCACTGTTGTTGGACTTGAGGTCGCGGTGGATGACAGGTACCAGGGCCTCACAGTGCAGGTAGTGCATCCCACGGGCAATCTGCACGGCCCAGTTGACCAGCACATGGGGTGGCACACGCCGCCCAGCCAGGGCACGGCTGAGGGGCCCACCAGCTGCATACTCCATCACCAGGCATAGGTTCGGCTCCTCCAAGCACACAGCCTTGAGGGCAATGATGTTGGGATGTGCCAGCATGGCGAAAAGCCGGGCCTCCTGGCGAACGCTCTCAGCAGTCACACTGATGTCCTCATCAGGATCCTGGCGAGCTGCCTTCACAGCCACCAGCTCCCCTCGCCAGCTGCCACGGTAGACCTTGCCGAAGCCACCAATTCCAATCACCTCCTCCAGCCGCAGCTCCTGGAAGCTGGCCACCTCGCAGGGGGGCGGGCCGCCACCCCGAGACACATAGTTGGATGGAAAGATGCCTACCTGGCCACCCACCTGGCCTGCCCACCAGCCCTCATCTCCTGAGATGGCTGCATCCCGGGACAGCACTTCCACACGGTCTCCCTTCCGCAGGGCAAGCTCGTCCTGCCCATTGGGCTCGTAGTCGAACAGGGCTGTCCACACAGGGTTGGCATATGCCGCTGCCTTCGGGGACCCCTCTGCCCGGCCTCCGCCACCACCCCCGCTGCCCCCACTGCCACTGCCATTCCATGATCCCAGAGGACTCTTGAGGAAGAGGTTCTTCAAGGGCTCCATGGCCAGGAGCTGGCACTGGAATGTGTGGGGGACCTCCCTGTGGTCCCCACCCCCGCTGACTGCCAAGGCCCTAATGCCGGAACCTGGGCATCCGGGCCCTGGCCCTCAGCCCCAGACCCACGCCTCTCTGGGGAGCCAGGAGTGTTGTCTCCCGGCCCCCCGCATCTCCGGCTTCTGGAAGAGGGCACCTGGAGCAGTGTAGTCAGGCTGGAGGGGTGGGGCCCCGGGGCCTCCGGTGCCTCACCATGGCTGGCTTGTAGGGGCCCAAGAGTCCCTCGGTCCTGGAGTACTCTTTGGAGGTTGGCTCCAGCGCCCTCCAAGTGTAAGGTGGGGCCTGCCAGGGGCAGAGCCTGGACTCGGCTGGGCCTTTACATGTAGCGGGCAGAGAGTCCCCAGTAGGGCCGAACCTGCCTCTTCCCAGCCTTGGTGGCTTTGGCCCAGACGGCTCCGACCCCGTTCCCTTCTTCCTCCTCCCTTTGTACTTTGGCCCTGGGGGCGGGAGGCAGAGGTGGAGGGTGGAGTTTCACTTTTTTCCGCTCTTCTCCCTCCTGCAGGAAACAGCATCAGATGACGCGGGCGGGTTGCACCGCTCCCCTCCCGGAGGCTCCGGGTGGCTGGGCTAGGGAGTTCCCTGAGACGCAGGCCCCGAGACGCAGAAGGGCAAGGGTAGTTGCAGACCCCCCCATCACCGAAGACTTCGTGATCTAGGAAGAAAAGTCCCAGACTGGGTGCTCCGTTGCCCAGGACCGAAGATAGATAGGGACCAGCCCGGCCTTCTGCATCTGAATCCACAGCAGCAAAATGGGCTATAGAACCGCGCTTGGCAGTGCAGCAAGCCGAGTCTGGCTTGGGCTACGAAGTCGCGGGACGGTGTGATTCATTCTCTTTGAGTTCCATTCTTTTCATATATGAAATACGAACAAGAAGCTCTGCTTTGCAGGACTAGGGGGGGTGAGGGTAGCGGAAGACTGGAGGACAGACTCAACTGGCAGCACCTCAAGCTCTTTCAAAAGGCTAATACTACCCCTCACCTAGGAAACAATCCGCTTCTTCGTGTCCCTTTCCCAATGGAAGAAAACCTGAGGCTGTTGTTCATAAATTTGCCTAGGACTGACTGGAACCAGAATAGCTGAGTCTCCCTCACCACCGCTGGGTAGTCTTGACCCCAATTGCTTCAAAAGTGTCACTTTAAGAAAGACGACGCTATCCTATTCGACTACTCCTGTCTGTTCCGGAGGATGGCTCTCTACACACCAGGTCTGAGCTCTGACCCGGAAGTAGAAGCCGCTCAGAGCGAGAAACACTCATGACGTTAAAGGTCTTGCAGTGAAAGAGGCCGGCGCTAGAGGGGCGTGTCCCGTAGCGCCTAACTCTGGGCAGTAGCCCTGAGGAGACCACGCCTCCACCTTTTCCCCGCCTCCTGTAATTCACTGGAAGAGCTTTGCGCCAATTACTTCACTTTCACCTATTGGCTACTCAACTACCCTTTCGATTCCGCCTAGCGGTCCCCTCCAGGTTGGCCCCGTCCGGGCGTGCGCATGCGCTCAACCACTTATAAAAAAAAAAAAAAACTCTCTTTACTTCTGGACTCTGCGCACGCCCAAAGGGCACCTCCGCGTCCTGTCAGCTCCACCAGCTCTCTGCGCTTGCGCTCTCATGCCTCCAGATTTTCCTTTTCCGGGTCCTAACTGGGTTTACCGGGCGCATGCGCCACTGCAGGCTGGCGGCTCGCGGCTTCTTCTTCCGGCCTTCCCGTTGGGCCGGCACCGGCAGAAGCGGGACGAACGCAGGTCCCCAAGCGAGTGACCTACGACCCCGGAAGTGGACTTCAGGGTCCCGGGGCTTTCCCCGGTCGGGAGCCAAGGGAGTCGTCGCCTGCACTCCGGGAGCACCCACCCCACGCCCACCTCTGGATGCCGCCGACGGGTGCTCGATCTGTGTCCCGCGCCTGCCTGCTGGTTCGGCACCCCGGAGCAGTTCTGGGCCAGGGGTGGGGGCCCAGACCCCGCCCCTGATGCAGCCCCACCCCCGTGCCCGGGCCGCACTCCGCTGACTGCTCCGGCCGGCCCCGCCCCCTGCCCGCACCCTCGCCTCGCCGATCCCCTCCCCCTCTGGGGGAGGCCATGGCGTGAGGGCGAGACCGAGCCCCGGGGCCTTCGGGCGCCAGGCGGGGCATGGACCGGGGGCCGCCCCCATGAGGGTCCCGGCAGGGGGGCGCGCGCAGCAGCGGCAGGGCCATGGGGTCTCAGGTGTTGCAGATCCTGCGCCAGGGGGTGTGGGCCTCGCTCACCGGCGGTTGGTTCTTCGACCCGCATCAGAGCACCTTCTCCAACTGCTTTCACCTCTATGTCTGGATCTTCCTGCTCACCTTTCCCTTCTTGCTGTACATGGTGAGATGTTCCTGCCACCTGTTAACTCATGCCGGGACAGGGAGGGCAGGATGTCATGGAAGCAGCCTGGCAGGGACTCTGGACGTACTTAGGATGTTGGGCCCTGCAGTTTGGGTGTCTGCGAGGAGAGGCTAAATCCTTCTTTTCCTGGGTCGGGTGACCTTGAGCTTCTCATTTGATCTCTCTAGTTTTTAGTACTGCCTGCATGGAGGGGTGATGAGGCTTCTCCTGAATTTATGAATCCTAACCATGGCAGTGATGGCAGGTACATCCCAAAGGGGCAGGGCTATGTGAGAAGGGACCTGACTTGCTGCCACCTCCAGGTCCTGCCCCCCAGCTTGATGGTGGCTGGCGTGTACTGCCTCGTGGTTGCTATCATCTTCACTACCATCAAGACTGTGAACTATCGACTGCATGCCATGTTCGACCAGGGAGAGATTGTGGAGAAGCGCAACTCGACCATGGGGGAGCAGGAAGAAGAGCCTGCCCAGGGGGACAGCAGTCTGCCCAGGTGGGTGGGACAGGGATTGTGATGGGATTAAGGGTTCTTGCTGCCTAGGCCTGAACCTCTGGGGGTGGAGGAGGGGCTGAACATTGGCTCCCTGAGTGAATGCTACCTAGCACTTGTCCTGAAGTCATTCTGGAGTTTAGCTCCAGTCTGTTTCTCTTTCTATCTGCAGGGACCCTGGTGTGGAGATGACTGTGTTTCGGAAAGTGAGTTCCACACCCCCAGTGCGCTGCAGTTCTCAGCATTCCGTGTTTGGCTTCAACCAGGTCTCGGTGAGTGGCCCCAGACCTTGGCTTTTCCACTGCTCTTTTGGGAGCCAGTTCCTGTTGTGGGCAGGTCCTGAGTTGTTGGTTCCTTTGTGCCTCTTCTCTGCTCAGGAATTATTGCCCCGGATGGAAGACTCTGGACCCCTCAGGGGTAAGTGACTATTGCACAGGGTTGGGACATGGTAGCATGGAATGGGACGGTCTCCTGTGGCTGCTCCAGGATCCTGCTGATGCCTCTGGTGCTATGGGTTTCAGATATCAAGGAGCTGGTGCGGGAGCAGGGCAGCAACAATGTGATAGTGACCTCTGCCGATCGAGAGATGCTGAAGCTCAGTTTACAGGAAAAATTAAGTGAGTGGGCACTATAAGGCATTACTTGCAAGGAAAGACTGTTGTTAGCTAACTTTTGCTCCAATGTAGAATTCTCTTTGTACTGTCAGATGGGACATCCTCAGCATTCCTTCCTAGATTGGCCCTCAGGGAAAGCAGAGTTCATTAAGCCCCCTTGGCCATCATTTTTTCTTCTGTTATACAGTATATCCTGCTCTTGTTTTTTTTTTTAATTTTTTTCTTCTGACAGTTGGAGACCTTCCCCAGACACCCCCAGGAGCTGTCCCAGACCCCTCTCTCCCCAGCACAGACTCTTCAGAACGTTCTCCCCTGGCTGGAGATGGAGCTCCTTGGGGTGGGAGCAGCATGGTTGACACTCCCATGAGCCCCTTACTGAAGGGGAGCCTTAGCCAGGAGCTAAGCAAGAGCTTTCTGACCCTGACCCGGCCTGACCGGGCTCTGGTGAGGACCAGCAGTCGAAGGGAACAACACCGAGGAGCCAGCGGCTACCAGCCTCTGGATCGGCGGGGCTCAGGTGAGCCCACACCCCAGAAAGCTGGCTCATCAGATTCCTGCTTCAGTGGCACTGACAGGGAAACGTTGAGCAGCTTCAAGAGCGAGAAGACCAACTCAACGCACCTGGACAGCCCCCCTGGTGGACAAGCCCCTGAGGGCAGTGACACAGATCCTCCCTCTGAGGCTGAGCTGCCTGCCTCACCTGATGCTGGCGTCCCCTCAGATGATACACTGCGTTCCTTTGACACAGTCATCGGAGCAGGGACACCACCAGGCCCAGTCGAGCCACTCCTGGTTGTACGGCCTAAGGACTTGGCCCTACTAAGGCCTAGCAAACGGCGGCCACCCATGCGAAGACACTCTCCACCTGGCCGTGCTCCTCGACGGTCCCTGCTTGAGGGCGGGGGCTTCTTCGAGGATGAAGACACCAGTGAGGGCAGCGAACTGAGCCCGGCCTCCAGTCTCCGATCACAGCGGCGCTACAGTACTGATAGCTCCTCATCTACTTCTTGCTACTCCCCTGAGAGCTCCCAGGGTGCAGCAGGGGGGCCTCGGAAGCGGCGGGCCCCTCATGGAGCTGAGGAGGGGACTGCTGTGCCCCCCAAAAGGCCCTATGGGACCCAGCGGACGCCCAGTACAGCCAGTGCTAAAACACATGCTCGTGTGCTAAGCATGGATGGGGCAGGGGGTGATGTCTTAAGGGCTCCCCTGGCCGGCTGCAAGGCTGAGCTGGAGGCCCAGGTGGGAGTGGAGCTCGCTGCTGGGGATCCTGCTGTGCTGACTGCTGAGGCCCGCAGTGGGCCTGCTGCCAACCAGCCAGGCTGGCGGGGGGAGCTGCCTGAGGAAGGTGCTGTTGGTGGAGGTGAGTGTAGGCTATGGGTGCAGGGGGCAGGAGGGGAGCTAGGGGGTTGGTTTGGGCAAGGGGCGGGCTGGAGTGGACCTGGTTAGCGTCAGCTCTGCCTCCCTCTCAGGCAGCAGATGGATGTGGACCAGTGATTGAATGATGTTATGTGCCAAACCTCTTGGGTCAGCAGGGTCCAGCCACCTGCTCCAAGTCCTGTGGTTAGCACCTGAGCCTCTGCTTCCGGAGGAGACTCATCATCCACGCTCATCATCCTGGCCACCAGTGGGGCAGGGCAGATCAGTGTCGTCCTTATTTCTAAATGAGGAAACCGAGGCATGAATGGCTAGGTGACCTGGCTGGGCTCCAGAGCCAGTGCGTTGTTGGACTAGGTCTGATCTTTAGCACCATACTAGAGCATCTGCCCCCACGTCACTCCCCCAGCTCTGTTCAAGCCTCTGTCACTTATGCTCGGGGCCTCTCTCTGGACAGCGACTGAGGAGACAGGCAAGCGGGACCGCTCAAGCAGTGTGAGGCGGACCCAAGCAATCCGGAGGCGCCACAACGCAGGCAGCAACCCCACCCCACCGGCCTCTGTCATGGGCTCGCCACCCAGGTTAGCATCTGCCACCCGGCCCAGGGGCCCAGGGGCCCAGGGGCCCAGCTGGCTCTGTGGTGCTGACCCAGGGCTGCCTTTTCCACAGCAGCCTGCAGGAGGCTCAGCGGGGCCGGGCTGCCTCCCACTCCCGGGCGCTGACGCTGCCCTCCGCCCTGCACTTCGCCTCTTCACTACTGCTGACCCGGGCTGGCACCAACGTGCACGAGGCCTGTACTTTTGACGACACCTCTGAGGGTGCCGTGCACTATTTCTACGACGAGAGTGGTGAGCCCCTCCTCAGCCTGCCCAGCACCTGTTTTGCTCTCCTGGGGCAGTCTTCATTCTGTTGGCAACAGCGCTGTCACTTAAGTCTGTGTTCAGCCCCATGGCAAGTGCTTTGCCTGTGTTCCCTCTACTGTCCTTACAGCGTCTCTGGGGTATGAGTGCTCTTGTCTTCCTTGCTTTGCTGATGGGAAACCAAGACCCACCAGAGGCTATAGCTGAGCAAATGGTAGAACAGAGATCCAAACCCAGGCTGGGCTGACCACAGACCCAGGCTTTTGACTTGCAGCCCCTTTCTCATTTGGTTTTTATCCCTGTGGACTGGGCTGCCATGCCAAGGAGCACATCACGGTGTTCTTTCTGATTTGATGGCCTTGGTGCCCTTGTGTGTCAGGCCTTGGCACTCCTGTTCCTGCCTTGCTGCCTCATCTCCCACTCTCCTGTCTCAGGTGTGCGACGTTCCTATACCTTCGGCCTGGCTGGAGGTGGCTATGAGAATCCAGTGGGGCAGCAGGGGGAGCAGGCGGCCAATGGAGCATGGTGAGTCTCCAGGCTGGGCCTCCTAAGGCCAGTGATGTGGTACACTACGTTTCAGAGAAGCACTCTAAACCTGGAGTTTTTTCTTTCTTTGCAGGGGTGGGGTAGGAGCCATGGCAGCTCCCTAGGAAGAGAGAAGTATGGGGAACAGTGAAGGACAGATTTGTGGGGATCCCTGGGAGCCTTGGCTCCTGGGCACTCCAAACAGGAAGCTTCCAGGACACTCAGGGCCCAGGGAGGAGGGGAAGAGAGTGCAATTTTGACAATGTGTGTTAGCTAGGATCTAGGACGGGGGCACTTCTGTCACCTGCCTCATCCTGAGCCTGGTATTCCTCTGTCCCTTGGGTTTCCAGTCATGGAATAGGCAGCCCCACCTACCTGGCCTTGGCCTCAATTCCATGCCACCCTAGGTCTTGCTTATGGCTAGGATTCTCATGGCTGCTGTACCCACAGGGACCGCCACTCACATTCCTCCAGCTTCCACTCAGCTGATGTTCCTGAGGCAACAGGAGGCTTGAACCTGCTGCAGCCGAGGCCTGTGGTTCTTCAGGGTATGCAGGTGCGCCGGGTGCCGCTGGAGATCCCGGAGGTGAGCATCTAGGGAAGGGCTGTGCAAGGAGTCTGTAGGGGTGAGCAGATCACTGAGGCTGGCCTTAGTTGAGAGCTTGCCCAGGTGCCAGGAGGGACAGGCTACCTGAGGAAGAGTTCAGAAACTCCACTATGTCTATCCTGATCTTTGATGGTTAGCTGAGGATGTACAAGACTGAAGCTGAATGGCTCAGGAAGTTGTTCATTTGCTTATTCTGTGACTGTGTCTGGAGTACCTTCCTAATCCTGAGGGGTCCACGATTAACAGGTACAATGGGTGTTCACAGCGATACTTGCAAAAGTGACAGCTCAAATTTGCCGAACAGTGACCATACTCTTCCTTGTGCCTGACTCTGTGTGATTGTCTGGAATATTCTCTTCTAATAATTCTCCTTTTAGTATATTTGTCGATAGCATGCTTTTTTACTTGTAAAACTATTCCAATTTGGACAATAATTAATGCAGTCAGTGCAGTGATATGAGAAACATTAAGAATGCACGAACCATAATTTTTTTCACCTGTACTCCCAGCTACTTGGGAGGCTGAGGCAGGAGGATCATTTGAGCCCAGGAGTTTGAGGCCAACCCAGGCAACGTAGTGAGACCCTGTCTGTGAGAAACACAAAAAAGCACAACCTCAGAGTTGAGAAAATAATCCTAAAAATGCGTATGTACACATTTTACAGCCAGAGCCACAAGTAGATCCCAAGCAGTGGTAGGAGCCACCAAGCATTGTTTTCCTGAATCATTTATTATTTTTAACTATTGTGTAGAATTGGAAGCATTGTCCTTGCTGTCTAACTGATGGCCGCCTCCACAGTGGTTGTATATCTCTGCCTCTCTCCATGGTATCCTCAGAGGCCAGCACAGGGCCAGGCCTTTAGCTGTGTCCCCTGAGTGCTTCAGTGAAGGGCACAACAAGCCCAAAGAGGTGAAGTAACTCGCTCAGGGCCTCACAGCAGCTACATGGCATCCAGTCCATCCTCAGGACTGGGTACTTGTGTGGGTGGGGTGTCCCAGGGACAGTGATGGCTCCATCTGGGAAGACATGATATTTGTACGAGGTCCTGAAGGACAAGGTAAATTACATTGGGACTGGATGAAACAGGAGATTCTGCCCGAGTGGGGAAGATAGACGTGGGATTCTGTAACTCTGGTGCCTGGTAGGTCCCTGTAGCCATTGAGCTCCTAGCAGCCATTGTCCTAGGAACTTGGAGCAAGGAATAGGCCCTTGTAATGGAGGATCCAGGCAGAACATGGGGCCGCTAGATGGTGGGGTCATACTGTGCTGATGGACGTGGTCAACCAAGCTAGTGTGCTAGGGTGGGAGTGGTGCTACAAACCATGGCAGGGGTGGCGGGGCTGATGGCCGCGGCTGTGGGGACTGCAGTTTGACCTGCTGGACCAGGACTCCCTGCACGAATCCCAGGAGCAGACACTGATGGAGGAGGCGCCACCCCGTGCCCAGCATAGCTACAAGTACTGGCTCTTTCCTGGCCGCTGGACCTCTGTGCGCTATGAGCGGCTTGCCCTGCTGGCTCTCCTGGACCGGTGAGTGCCTATCTGCTTTGGCCCGTAGTCCCCAGAAAGTCCTAGGGGTCCCAGGACCCTGGACTTTGAGACTGTGAACCAGTGGGGACAGTCATGGCTTCAGAGAACATAATGTGCCTTTGATGGCAGTGGCATTTCTTTAGGGTCCTTGGGTATGAGGGGTGGTCAAGTGGTAGGGAGTCGGGGTGAAGCAGCCACTGTAGTAATCCCATCTTTTTTTTTTTTTAATTTTTTTTTGGTTGTAGATGATATTTACCTTTATTTACTTATTTACTTTATGTGGTGCTGAGGAGCCAACCCAGTGTTTCACGTGTGCTAGGCAAGCACCCACCTCTGAGCCACAACCCTAGCCCAACCCATCTTTCTTTTTTTAGAGATTTTTTTTTTTTTTTTTTTTTTTATTTTTATTTTTTAGTTATTGGCGGACACAACATCTTTTGTTTGTATGTGGTGCTGAGGATCGAAACCCGGGCCGCACGCATGCCAGGCGAGCGTGCTACCACTTGAGCCACATCCCCAGCCCATCAACCCATCTTTCTTAAAGCCCTGCTTAAGACAAACAATTCAGTCTGATTTATTTTATTTTTTGGCACTGGATGTTTAACCCAGGGGTACTCTACCATTGAACCACATCCCTAGCTGTTTTTATTTTTTATTTTGAGATAGGGTCTCCCTAAGTTGCTCAGGGTCTTGCCAAATTGCTGAGGCCACCCTTGAACTTGCTATCCTCCTGCCTCAGCCTCCCGAGTCACTGGGATTATAGGTACATGCCACCATATCTGACTGGTCTGATTCTGTTGTTTTTACAGTACCAGGGGCACTCTACCACTGAACTACATCCCTTTTTATTTTTCATTTTGAGACAGGGTCTTGCCAAGTTTCTGAGGCTGGCCTTGAACTTGTGATCCTCCTGCCTTAGCCTCCTGAGTACCTGTGATTACAGGCATGTGCCACCATGCCTGGAAGTCTGTTGTTTTCTTTTGCCTCTGTCTTTGACTTGATATAAAAATGGAATGCCATTAACTAAAAAGTTCACAATCATTTGTCTCACCTTTCCCAATTTTCAGAGGGGAAACAGGCCCAGAAAATCAGATAGAGCTGTCAGGTGATCTTTATTGCCTGCTATAGAGGACTTGGGCCTGGAACCCACTTCCTGGTTTCCTGTCCATTGGGCTTTGACCTGGCACCATGACTGAGTGCTTGTGGGGTACTGCTTGTGTTTATAATGGGGTGCCTGACGTGGTGTGCCTCGCTTAGCCTACCATGAGCTAGACATAGGGAAGTCTTAAGAGTGTTGGCACCTGAAGCCTTTAGCATCTAGAAGGTCAAAGACTGGGATGGAGGGCAGCAACAGGATGGCTTCCTAGAGTAGATGCATCCTGGGCTCCCCCTGTGAGATAGTAGGTTTGAATCTTCAGAGGTCAAGAAGCTGGCACAGCCAGAGACCTGGAGATGGTCCTTTAGGACTGAACCCCTGTGCTGAGGCAGAAGGGCTATGCCTTGACTCACCTGTTTCTGCAGGACGCGGGGGGTGGTCGAGAACATCTTCGGCGTTGGGCTGAGCAGCCTGGTTGCTTTCCTGGGCTACCTGTTGCTGCTCAAGGGCTTCTTCACTGACATCTGGGTCTTCCAGTTCTGCCTGGTCATCGCCTCCTGTCAGTACTCCTTGCTCAAGGTCAGGCCTGGCTTCATGTGTCTCTTACCCCAATTTTCCTCAGACCTTCCCCTTCCCCCTACTGTAGGTCTGAGGGCTCTGAGCTAGGAAGCAGACAAGATGCTTAAGGTCCTTTGTAGGCAGCCACCCATCTGATAGTTGAGAACACTAAGCTCAAGGCACTTGAGGGTCCTGCTCTGATTCCAGTGTCTCATGCTCCTGTGGGCACTGGCTCTTGTTGTCAACATAGCCCTATCTCTTTCAGAGTGTGCAGCCTGATGCGGCATCTCCCATGCACGTGAGTACCCTTGAGCAGCACCTCTCACCAGGGAGGCCCTGGGAGGGGCTGAAGCCAGGTGGGAGGAGGTCTTAGCAGGAAAGAGGCGGGGCTCCCTCACTAGCCCCATTGCCTCCACCCTGCCTGGCTCTCTAGCTTGGACCCAGGGCCAGCCCAGGAGCATGTGGGCATGTCCACATGCCTCTGGGGTCGTCAGCAAGGAAGGCCAGCTCCTCATAGGCTGACTCCTCAGGGCCACAACTGGGTGATCGCATACAGCCGGCCCGTCTACTTCTGCATCTGCTGCCTGCTCATCTGGCTGCTGGATGCCCTGGGCTCAGCACAGCCCTTCCCGCCCGTCTCCCTCTATGGCCTCACACTCTTCTCTGCCTCTTTCTTCTTCTGTGCCCGAGATGTGGCCACTGGTGAGGCCTGGCAGGGTAGAGGTGGTCTGGGAGAGTAAGCCCAGGAGGGTGGGCAACAGACTGACCAGCCCTCATTTTCTCTCCCCGTCAGTGTTCACCTTATGCTTCCCTTTCGTCTTCCTCCTGGGCCTCCTGCCCCAGGTCAACACCTGCCTCATGTACCTGCTGGAGCAGATAGATATGCATGGCTTTGGGGGCACAGGTATGATGTCCGCAGGTGGCTTGGGGGTGGGGTAGTATCAGGCCCTAGAGGACCTATGAATTGGGTCTGTGGCTCCAGCCCTTGCTGATCCACCTTCTTCATCTAGACCCCTGACAAGATACAGGCCCCTGCCTTCCTCTAGCACGTGGTATCAACCTGAGAGTGCCAAAAGTTCCGAAGCCCCCCAGGGCTGGGCAAGCAGAGAGCAGTTGGCTAGGGGTGATGTCCTGGGAGTTGGGCTTCTGGGAGTTGGATGGTGGGCAGGGGTGAGGTGGGCATGCCCACATGTAAGAGCTGGGTCTTGCCTACTCCTCCGTGCCATGCAGCTGCCACCAGCCCGCTCACTGCAGTCTTCAGTCTTGCTCGCAGCCTTCTGGCTGCTGCCCTTCTCTACGGCTTCTGCCTCGGGGCCATCAAGGTAAGGTGGCCTGCAGGATGGGGGGCATGCTGAAGTCTGTGGGGTTGTTGGGACAGGGCCATGAATTGGGCTCAGCAGCGGCTTCTCATGTGGGGATACCCCCGCCCCCATGCTTACCCTCACCTCTCTTGACCAGCATGCTTCTCTCCCCAGACTCCTTGGCCAGAGCAGCACGTCCCTGTCCTCTTCTCAGTCTTCTGTGGCCTCCTGGTGGCGCTGTCCTACCATCTGAGCCGGCAGAGCAGCGACCCCACTGTGCTCTGGTGGGTGCTGCATGTGCCTGTCCATGCACACATGTGTGCGTGCTCCATGGATGTGCGTTTGTGTCTGTGGACCTGGGCATCGTGCATGTGCCTGTGACCCACATGGATCCTGGTCTCCTGTGGCCCTGGAGGCCTGTGCTAGGAAGAGCAGCAGCCCCACCCCCTGACTGTTTTTCCCCCCAGGTCCCTGGTACGGAGCAAGCTCTTCCCTGAGCTAGAGGAGCGGAGCCTGGAGACGGCCCGAGCTGAGCCCCCAGACCCGCTACCAGAAAAAATGCGCCAGTCTGTGGTGAGGGGGCGGGAGTGTGGGTCTCTGGTAGGGAAATGGTGGCAGGGCCAGGGCTCGGTGTGCAGGCCTTGGCATTGGGCAGTGAGCTGTGTTTTCCACCTCTCAGCGTGAGGTCCTGCACTCCGACCTGGTGATGTGTGTGGTGATTGCTGTGCTCACCTTCGCCATCAGCGCCAGCACCGTCTTCATTGCCCTAAAGGTTCGTGTGGTGCAGTTAGCCCTTCTTGGGTCTTGGCAGGAGAGTGTTGGACCTGAGGCCCTGAGAGGCCCCTGCCTGGTCTGGTGGGCTGAGCCCCTGAGTAAGCATCTGGTCTCTCTCTCTGCAGTCGGTGCTGGGTTTTGTATTGTACGCGCTGGCCGGGGCAGTGGGCTTCTTCACACACTACCTGCTGCCACAGCTGCGCAAGCAGCTGCCCTGGTTCTGCCTCTCACAGCCCGTGCTGAAGCCACTGGAGTACAGCCAGTATGAAGTGCGCGGTGAGTGCACCCTCCTACCGTACCTCCCCTCCGAACCTCCCCTCCAATGCCTGATGCACCACCCTTCAGGCCCAAGCACTGAGTGGCCTGGTGGGAGTCTTGGTCTTCTTGGCTTAGGGTGACAGTAGGGGGCAGTCTTCGCCATCACTGCCCTCTCCACCCTGACCCTGCCACCCATCCCTGCTCTCTTGTGCCCACTCTTCTCACCATGACCTGGCGTGGCCCTGTTATGCTCTCAGCCCACATGTGCCTCCCCTTTTCTGCCTTCCTTGTCTCTGAGGAGATGGAAAAAGTAGAATTCCAGGGCCCTGAAGGGATCTCTTGTCCAGAATGCAAACTGGTCTCTGCTGGACTAGAGCCATCCGGTGTGCATTGTTGCTGGGCTGTGCAGCAACTTAAAATATTCTCCAACCTGTGTTTAATCATCTTGAATTGTGATAAGGAAGGTCACATTTCTCGTTTTTCTAAACAATGGGAGGTTTTGGGCCACTGGGCCAGTATCCCTCTGTAGTTTTTACCAGCTTGAGTCAGGGAGCCTTGCCCCTCAGAAGGGTCTGTGGCTTGGGGTCACCATGTGCTTGTCCTCCCAGCCTGCTGTACATCACCTTTGCCATCCCCAGTGAGTAGCCTTCATCAGCCTTGTTTCCGTAGATAGTAAACAGGACAAATCACCAGCCCTAAGCCTGTGGTGAGCCCAGTGGTATGCAGAGCTCTGGCTCTGCTAGGGCCCGTTACTTTATTTCAACTGCCAAAGATCAGTTCCTCCTCACCGTGCTGAAATTTCTGGGGACCCAGGACACACAGCTCCTGGTTTGTCCGCCCTCCTTGGTTTTCTCTGGTCCTGCTGTGGTTAGTCTTCTGGATCCCAGGGAAGAGGGGCATATGTGGGGGACCAGGTGCTGGGCAACAGTTCTACCTCCATGTTGCAGGCGCTGCCCAAGTGATGTGGTTTGAGAAACTGTATGCTGGCCTGCAGTGTGTCGAGAAGTATCTCATCTACCCTGCCGTGGTGCTCAATGCTCTCACAGTGGATGCCCACACTGTTGTCAGCCACCCGGACAAATTCTGCCTCTAGTGAGGACTACCGTGCTACCTATCTTCCCATTTGATTCCCATTGGGGAAACTAAGGCCCAGAGAGGGAATGGGTAATGGGTGGTGACCAAGATTGCCCAGAAAGCCAAAGTGGGGCCCCAATTCCTGATGCACTTTACCTGCACTGGAGGGATGAGCCTGAGAGTCACTGGTTCAAGAGAACAGACGCTACCTGAATAGAGAGAGCTGAGGAATAGGGTTGCACTCGGGCCAGGGTAGGTGAGAGATGGGGCATGTGCACCCACTGCCTCCTAAGCCCTGCTGAACTCACCCACAGCTGCCGGGCACTGCTGATGACTGTGGCTGGTCTGAAGTTGTTGCGCTCGGCCTTTTGCTGCCCACCCCAGCAGTACCTGACCTTGGCCTTCACAGTCCTGCTCTTCCACTTTGACTACCCACGTCTCTCCCAGGGCTTTCTGCTGGACTACTTCCTCATGTCCCTGCTCTGCAGCAAAGTGAGCGGGGAGTGGGGTCTGTGGCTTAGAATTCTTCAGCCTGGGGGGTGGGGGGAAGAATGTCCCTGGGGCCTGTCACCTGCCTCTCGGACAATCCTGCTGTTGGCTGTTCAGGGAAGAGGTTATCTCTGTCTCTCCTTGCAGAGAGGAAGCTGAGGCTTAAAGAGGTGGAATGACTTGCCTTAGGCCCTCCAGGGAATTGACAGTCAACCAGGATTTGACCCCATGTCTGTCCAACCCTATAACCACCTTTCTCAGAAACAGCATAGTTAGGACCCGACCTTGACCTCTGGAAAAGAGCCAGACTCTGAGCTCTTCCTCTCTGCCAGCCTTGGCCCTAGAGAACAATTCAGAATTGTTTCAGAAGCCCTGGGGCCTGTGCGTGTAGATATTTTGCTAGACCATTGGATTTCACACTCAGGGTTTGAGACGGGTCACTTTGAACAAAGGACCATTCCCTACTGTGTGCATGATGCCCGTTATGATGGCTGGGATTCCTACAGGCCTGAGCCTTTCTCACTCACAGGGGTGCTCACTTTTTGTTTCTGGCCAGGCCCAGGGTGGTGGGCCTCCCAACTTGGCTCCTCTGAGGCCATGACCTGGGACTATTAATATTCAGTCCCACTGTCCACAGCATTACTACTGACCAAATTGCATGGCCTGAGCAAGTCATTTATTTTCTCTTCCTTCTCTGAATCTCACCTTAAGCCATCTATAAAATGGAAACAGCTTCCAGGGTCATCACGTGAATTAAATGGTTAATGTGCCCTTAGAGCACAGTCAGGAGTTGGTCATGATATCAAGTGCCTCAAGCCAGAACCATAGAGAAGGTGCTGGGAATGATACTGAGCTGGACCCCACATAGGCACCCAGTGGGACCCCAGGATTCTGAAGGAGGCCATGTGTCTGGGGGCTTGGCTGACCCCACCTTCATGAGTGATACTACACGTCTTTTGTGTCTCTTGCCCACCCTGCAGCTGTGGGACCTGCTGTACAAGCTGCGTTTTGTGCTGACCTACATCGCTCCCTGGCAAATCACCTGGGGCTCGGCCTTCCACGCCTTTGCCCAGCCCTTCGCAGTACCACGTATCTGCTGCCTGCTTTCTGGGTGGGGTGGGCAGGGAGGGCTGTGGCCTGGGGCTGCAGGGAATGGGGAGGGAGTCTGGGAGATCCTGTGTGTCTGCTGTCTCCTTGACGTACGCCCAGACTCGGCCATGCTGTTTGTCCAGGCCCTGCTCTCAGGGCTCTTCTCCACACCCCTAAATCCTCTACTGGGCAGTGCAGTGTTCATCATGTCTTATGCAAGGCCTCTCAAGTTTTGGGAGCGTGACTACAAGTGAGTGTTATGGGAAAAGGAGCAAGTGCCTGGCCGGGGAGGGGGAGGGGGTTTGAAGCCCAGACTGGACAGTGCCCAGCAGCAAGTGTGTGAATGCTTGGGCATAGCGGGGACACTGTGGAAGCAGATCCCATGAGAGCAAACCCTGCACCTAGACAAAGCCTCAGGGAGATAGGTGGGCCTGGATGAGATGCCAGTTTCCCCAAGTCCTGGCTGTGTGGTCTGGGTGAGTCCTTTCATGTCCCTGAGCCTGTCCTCCTTATCTGTGACAGTGTTACTAGTGCTATCATAGGTAGTTTCTGTTCATAGCACAGGGGTGTGGACTTGGAGAGGACCTGGGTGGAGCCTGGGTAGGAGGTCTCGACAGGTGGAAATCGTCACCATTGTCGGTGGCTGCGCCTTTTCTGATGCCGTCGCTCTCTTGAACAGCACTAAGCGTGTGGATCATTCCAACACCCGCCTGGTGACGCAGCTGGACCGGAACCCTGGTGTGTATCCAGCTGTCCAGAGGCTCCGGGCAGGGCTTCCCCTAAAAGGAGCCATTCTCACGTGTCACTTTGGTCATTTGTTTATCTGCCCTGGTCCCAGGCGCTGATGACAACAACCTCAATTCCATCTTCTATGAGCACTTGACGCGCTCACTGCAGCACACGCTGTGTGGGGACCTGGTGCTGGGCCGCTGGGGCAACTATGGCCCTGGTGACTGCTTCGTCCTGGCTTCCGACTACCTCAATGCACTAGTGCACCTCATCGAGGTTGGCAATGGCCTTGTCACCTTCCAGCTGCGTGGCCTTGAGTTCCGGGGTGAGCCTCAGGGCTGAGCCTGGGAATGGGGGTGCAGGCATGCTTGGGTCCTGAGCAGTGCACTGTGTGCAGGGACTGCATTCATGTCCAGTTTGGCTTGGGTGACCTCAGGCAAGGAGCTCTTGCTCCCTGGGTCAAGGTTTCCCAGTCTAAGCTGTGAGGTGACAGGTTTTCCAGCCAAGCCCTCTGTGTGCCTTGACTTTGGGTCTGTACTGACGCCAGAGATGGCTACAGTCAAAGTTGGGGGCTAGAGTTCTGGGTTCTTGTGCTAACTTCACCTGGCCTGCTCTGTGGTCTCAGGCTAGGCCTCATTCAGGCACCACGCACAGCCCCTAGAGAGCAGGGCTAGTGTCTTCCTGCCTCTACCTTGCAGGAAGACATACAGGATGCAGCTTCTCAGGAAGCCCAAGAGTGTATAGCTCATGGGCACTATGACCTTGAGCAAGTCCCTTCTCCTCTTTGAGGTTCCATCTTTACCTCTATAAATGAGGGAGCAGACCCCTGCCTCTTCCACTCTCCCTCACTATGGCTGCTGGGAATTAAGAGAAAGAAGGGGTTCACTTGCCATTCACTCAGTAACCTTTCCACACACTATGCCTGGTGGAGGGTGAGTGGCAGCAGCCCTCGAGTGCTACATTGGCCTCTTGCTGGGGGAGGCAGGCAAGGATTGTCCTAGTGTCCCTGACTGGGCACTCTTCCCCCACAGGCACGTACTGCCAGCAGCGTGAGGTGGAGGCCATCACCGAAGGTGTAGAGGAGGATGAGGGCTGCTGCTGCTGTGAGCCTGGCCATTTGCCACGGGTCCTGTCCTTCAATGCCGCCTTTGGGCAGCGCTGGCTGGCCTGGGAGGTGACGGCCAGTAAGTACGTGCTGGAGGGCTACAGCATTAGCGACAACAACGCCGCCTCCATGCTGCAGGTCTTTGACCTCCGCAAGATTCTCATCACCTACTATGTCAAGGTATGGCCGGCAGGCACCTGGTAGGCAGCAGCGTCTCTGCTGGTGGATGCTCTCTGACCAGGAGCATCCCAAGTTCTGTTTTCTAGAATGTTGGAAGCCTGTTTGATCCAAGGGAAGCAGAGGCCTCAATTTAATCATGCTCCACAGTGCCACCACCAGATAGCAGAGGTGAAATGATCAATGTGAGACTCCAGAATTAGGAAAAAAAGACAGAGCTGGGCATCGAACCCAGGCCTAGGGTTAGCCAGTATGCTCTGTGCCTCCACCTGGGTGCTCCAAGCTAGGCCAGAGGATCTTGAGATCTGTTTGGCATGGTGGGGATTGGTGGGGCCTGTGGGTGTTGAATGATATAGGGCTCCTTCTCAGGGTTCTGTGCACCTGGAAAGTTACCTCCCTTGTCATGGCTCAGTACAACCCTTGAGAAGTGTGGTATTGTGGTCTGAGATGACAGACATGATGAGGCTTTATGGTGATCAGAACAGGATACTGCAGGGGTGAGATGGGTGGTGATCACACAGGCCTCCATGTGCTCCTAGGATTTGCCTTGGAGCTTCGCATGGGGCTTGGCACGTTTCCTGCTGGGGGCCAGGGGAGCCTGTCCTCCTCGGGTTCCCCCTTGGGTAAGCACAAGTAGCTCCCAGCTGTCTTTTTTGCACCCCATAGACAACCTACTCATGTCACATGTTACAGCAACTGTAATTTCCGTTGGTCTTTTTGTCCTCTGAACTCTTGGAGAACAGTTTGAGGCTCCCCCTACTTTTTTTTTTTTAAGAAGAGTTTTTTTTTTTAATATCTTCACCTTTATTTATTTATTTTTATGTGGTGCTGAGGGTCTCATGCACGCAAGGCAAGCGCTCTACTGCTGAGCCACAACCCCAGTCCCTCCCCCTACTTTTTCTAAGACATGGTCCAGAATGGGACAGTCTCAGTCCCAGGTCACCCAAAGGTCAAGGTCCTATCCATCTTCCTGTCCCATCTTGAGAGCTGTGCCCAGTCACCCTGCTGCCTCACAGAGACCCCACTCAAAGCCACGAGCAGCCCTCTGATCTTGGGCCTGAGCTGGTAGGTTGAGATGAGCCCTGCCTGGCTCATTGTCCCATGGGAAGCTGCCTCAGGTTGGGCAGAGGAGCCAGAGGACACAGGGATGGCACTGCTAAAGATGTGTGGAGCATGGGGTGAAGTCTGGAAGGTTGGGGGTGCAGGGGAGGCAGCCATGCGGGGCACATGGAGGGCCCAGTGTAGGAGGCAGTGCTGGGGACATGTCCTGTTCAGCCCTTGAGATGGGCCAGGCAGGCCCAGCCCTTTCCGTACAGCTTTGGCCACCCCTTGGTGCCTCCTCCGCATCTTGCCCTTCCTGTGGGTGTCACTGAGTACAGTGGGTGGCAGATGTGGTGCAGCCCTTAGCCAGAGCCATGAGCCCCCACGGATGCCTGTGGCCATACCTTGTATTCAGGGTTAGCCCTTCTAAGCCAGGTGGTTCGAGACCCTGCCACATTCTTTAGCCACCCTTGGGAGAGGAGGAACCAGGGTGATTGACCTCATTACAGCTGAGGTGATAGCCTCAGACTGGTCCTGAGGACAGTGATGTGAGAGCAAGAAGGCCCACAGCTGCAAGGCCTGTGCAGCGGTGAAGTGCACCCAGACAATACCTGGACCTAATGACTCTTAGGCACTGCTCTCAGGTGGGAGCTCTTGCTGCTTACGGGCCCAGGTCTTCATTTTCTCCCTGAGAGTCACTCTGAGGCTGTCACAGGAAGAATGACACTGGCAAGTTAGCCAAGCACTAATGTGTGCCTGGCCAGCTCCTCCCCCTGCCCCTGCAGCACTGTTTTCTGGGGGCTGTGATGGTTCCCAGAGAGTGGAGACATTCTAGGTGGTCAGGAAGGCCAGTCTGGAGCCTAAAGCTGCCCCATAGCCATTCTGCCCCCTCATGCCATTACTTTTCTGATGCCTTCTTGGTAAAGCAACGGCTCAGCCGTCCCTAGACTGTCACTCATCTGCCTGTGCTAAAGCCATGCCAGAGCCTCCATCCCAACACAGCCATTAACTTCAGGTGTTCTCCCCTGCCAGGAATTGTAGGAGACCTTGGCTGTTTCCATCTTGTACCCTGGTCATTTTACTCAGGTTCTTCTCCATGCCCCACTATAGGCACCTTGCTGGACACTCCGCTGCCCAGAATACTTCCTTTTTTAGAGAGAATTTTTTAATATTTATTTTTCAGTTTTCAGTGGACACAACATCTTTATTTTATTTGTATGTGGTGCTGAGGATCGAACCCAGCGCCCCGCGCATGCCAGGAGAGTGTGTTACTGCTTGAGCCACATCCCCAGCCCTGCAGGATACCTTCTATTTTTTGCCAGCTACCAGCTGCATAACCCTCTCCAGCCCAGACTTTCCCACCTCTTAAGCCACACAAAGTGCTGACCCCATTGGCTTTGTCTCAGGGTGGCACATGGAATCCCCGTAACCTCAATGGCTGCAGCTGCCAGCCTCACGCTGCCTCTCCATCCCAGTGGTGCCAGCTACCTGCCTTCCTAAAACTCCTCTCCCTTTGCCCAACTCCTACTTAGACATCAGCAGTGCTTCTAAATAAGAGGTCCAGGAGCCCCCAACTTCAGGCACAAGGTTCTGTGCCTCTGCCTTTTTTCTGAGGAGAAGGCCCTGTTACTGTCATGCTTCGGCTGCCTAAAGTAACCTGAGATCTGGATCCCACAGCATCTTCAAATTCCAGCTCAGCCTGCCCTGCTGTGTTGACATGGGGCAAGACTGTCATTTGTCAGTGCCTCTTTACAAATGGGTTAGGTGCTAGGGCCTACAGCACAAGGTGAGCAGGTACTGTATACAAGCATCTGCTGCAGGGTGGGACCCTCCAAGTCCGCTTTGTAAGTGGGGGCACTTCCTACTGGCCTCCCACCCTCCATGGCCCTGGGTTGGGGGTGGAGCTCACTTGCCCTTGTGGCCTTGGGGAGCTGAGCTGAACTGCAGAAGGTGGATATCCTAGGAAACACTTTAACTAGGCTGGGGCAGAAGTTTTTCATGTTTCCCCCCAGTGCTGGGGCAGGGGTGGGCTGCCCTCCACACAGTCCAACACCTGCTCCTCCTCTCCCAGAGCATCATCTACTATGTGAGCCGCTCCCCAAAGCTGGAGGCCTGGCTGAGCCACGAGGGCATCGCAGCTGCTTTGCGGCCCGTTAGAGCCCCCGGCTATGCCGACTCAGATCCCACCTTTTCGCTGAGTGTGGATGAGGACTATGACCTTCGCCTTTCCGGCCTCTCGCTGCCTTCCTTCTGTGCTGTGCACCTCGAGTGGATCCAGTACTGCGCCTCCCGGCGTGGCCAGGTTGGGCCACCACTACCCTGGGGCTGCCCCCACCAGGCCTCTGGGGACCTGAACCCTCTTCCACTTCTCCCCTTCCCATTTGGGTTCTTCTCACCCTGAGACTCCCTTGGCCTGGGCCCTGGCCCCTACCTCAAGTTCCCAGTCCCAGGTCTGAATGGGGCTCTGGGGATGGGGCTCCTTGTGCCACAGCCCGTGGACCAGGACTGGAACTCGCCGCTGGTCACGCTGTGTTTTGGCCTGTGTGTACTGGGCCGCCGAGCCCTGGGGACAGCCTCTCACAGCATGTCTGCCAGGTGAGTGCATGTGTCCTGCTGGTCTACTACTCTCCCTTCACCCATGCGTGCAGAGCTCAGTGGCTCTGGAAACCGAGTTGGTCTTTCCTGTTGGTGTAGCTTGTTTCATATGGGCCAGGCGCTTCTCAGTCATCACTTTGCCTGTTCCTCAGCACTCTGAGGGACATGGGCAGAGACTGGCTTCCTTGGAGAGATGTGAAAACTGAGGTTCAGTGTGAGGAAAGGTCTCAGCTCACATGATTCAGAAACCTGAGATGCCTGGCTCCTTCCCACCCCTCGTTCACCTCCATGTTCCTCCTCCCTGACCAGCCTGGAGCCCTTCCTCTATGGCCTACACGCTCTGTTCAAGGGGGACTTTCGCATCACCTCCCCACGTGATGAGTGGGTCTTTGCCGACATGGACCTGCTTCACCGTGTAGTGGCACCTGGGGTTCGCATGGCTCTCAAGCTTCACCAGGTGGGAGAGTGGTGTGCCCAGGCTGCTTGGGCAGGTGGGGGCTGAAGGCTCACTCAGTGCAGGGGCCCCTGACTCCTGCCCTCCCATCCCGCCTGCCAGGACCACTTCACATCCCCAGATGAATATGAGGAACCTGCGGCCTTGTATGATGCCATTGCAGCCAACGAGGAGCGGCTGGTCATTTCACATGAAGGTGACCCAGCCTGGCGTAGTGCCATCCTCAGCAACACACCCTCCCTGCTGGCACTGCGCCACGTCATGGACGATGCATCTGATGAGTACAAGATCATCATGCTAAACCGCCGCCACCTCAGCTTCCGAGTCATCAAGGTGGGGATGGCCTACTTCCCTTCAGCCCAGGCCCCTGTCCATGGAGCTAGATCCCTGACCCTCAGTGTGGCTGCCCACAGGTGAATCGCGAGTGCGTGCGTGGCCTGTGGGCTGGGCAGCAGCAGGAGTTGGTGTTCCTGCGTAACCGCAACCCTGAGCGTGGCAGCATCCAGAACGCCAAGCAGGCACTCCGCAACATGATCAATTCCTCCTGTGACCAGCCACTGGGCTACCCCATCTATGTGTCACCCCTCACCACCTCACTGGCTGGCAGCCACCCCCAGCTGCGAGCGCTGTGGGGCGGCCCCATCAGCTTGGGCGCCATCACCCGCTGGCTCCTGCGCAGCTGGGAGAGGTGAGCCCTCGCCGCCACCCCTAGTCCATAAGGCCTCATAAAGGGCTGAGGTGCTGGGCTTCAGAGGGAGCATAGGTGCAGTTCCTGCCCAGGTCTTCAAGTGAGGAAGTGCTGGAGCTAGGGCTTGAACCCCAGAAAATGGCCCCTCCCAGAACTGATGTGAGCTGTCATCCCCAGAGGTGTCCCCTTTTCCCTAGAGCTGACAGTGGCCTTTCATCTTTAAGCATAATTGAAAACTCTGTCAAAAGGCCCTTAGAGGTGAGGACCTGGGGCTCCCAGACATTGGATGACTTGTTCTGGGGGTGGGGACTTATGCTCATGAGGCCTGTGGCCGCAGCCTTGTCTTTCCCGACCCTTTCATCTCCCCACCTCCAGGCTTCATAAGGGCTGTGGTGCTGGCTGCAATAGCGGTGGGAATGTGGATGACTCGGACTGTGGTGGGGGCAGCGGCCTGACTTCCCTCAGTGCTAATCCCCCCTTGGCACACCCGACGCCTGAGAATACAGCAGGTGAGCAGGCAAGGCTGGGCTGACTTGGTGGGTGAGGATGGCAGCCGAGCTGAAGTCTGCTCCCTTATCTGTGTCTTACAGGCAGTGGCGACCAACCCCTCCCACCAGGCCCTGGCTGGGGGCCGCGGCCTTCCCTGAGCAGCTCTGGTGATGGACGCCCCCCTGCTCTATTGCAGTGGCCTCCCCCTCGGCTCCCTGGTCCACCCCCTGCCTCACCTGTTCCCACTGAGGGTCCCCGGTCCTCGCGGCCCCCTGGTCCTGGTTTCGGTTCTGAGGGGCCCAGTGGAAAGTGGAGCCTGGGGGGTCGGAAGGGTCTGGGAGGATCTGATGGAGAACCAGCCTCAGGGAGCCCCAAAGGAGGCACCCCCAAATCTCAGGTAAAGGGCCTGTTGGGGGGTTGGGTTGCAGAAGGCTCAATCCTGCTCTCCTGCCAACCTGTCTCTTCTCCCCCAGGTGCCTCTAGACCTCAGCCTCAGCCCGGATGGCAGCTCTGAGGCCTCACCCCCCAGAGCAGCACAGGATATTTCTTGCTTGGACAGCAGTGCTCCCGAGAGTGGTACACCCACTGAGGCCCCAGCTGACTGGCCTGTCCCTGCTGAGGAACGCGAAAGTCCGGCTGCCCAGCCATTGCTGGAGCACCAATACTGAGCAGCCTGGCGTCCACTGGATCCCATCATAGGACTCAGTAACTTGGACTTCCTCTGCTGCCTCTGGCCCTCTCTGTTGGACCACAGAACTGAGTGGCTTTGGCTCCCACATCTGAACCCTGACCTCTGGCTGCCTCAGCCAAAGTACCAGAACTGAATGGCCTGGACCTCTGACCTTGACCCCTGATCTCATTCCTAATTTACGGCCTGGGTACCCCAAACTGAGGCAGTCAGCTTCCCAGCCAGGCCCTAAAAGCCAAATCCATGGGCTGGTCCCGCTTTGAGCCCATGGCCAGGACTGACTTGGTCCCTGGGCCTGCACTGCCTGCAAGGGTGGTCCCCTTGTCCTGGACCTGGGGCTTGAAATGTGGCAAGGGTTGTTTCTTCTTTTTTTTTTTTTTTTTTGGTCATTTTTTTTTTCGTGCTTCAGAGACACCAGAATTAATAACACTATTTTTGATTTTGATTGGCAGTTTCTTCTCTCTGAAAATGGGTATAGGGTAGCGATGGGGGCTAAGGGTGGATGTGCATGGAAGGGGGCTAAGGGATGAAGGAGATAGGGGTCAGACCAAGGTGGGGACCAGGTAAGATGGGTCCTTTTCCCCACAATCCTGTTCCCTTTAGAAGCCTTGATGTGAAGGTGGTTGTGTTGCATTTCCCACTCCAGTATGTTCAAAAATTTCCAGCCCTATGGATCCTACATTCCTCAACCTTGACCTTGGCCATAGCCTTTCTCTGAACCTCAAATACTCCAAGCCTTAAAGAGGTGATGAGGACACCTTTGTAAGGTGTTCTACAATAAATGAGACAGGTGTATAGAGCATTTACCCAGAGTCTGGGGCTGGGCATCCTGGGCACCTGCTGAGTGCTGGAGGGGGGCTGGACGCAAGGTGTCCTTCTGGAAGGCAGGTACACTTGTTCCCATTCCTCAGCCAGAACGTGGGCCCAGCATAAAGGGTGGCAGGAGGCGCCTAGGTCGGCCTGGCCTCCTGCTGAACACTGGTCTGACCGTGGCCAGGCCTGGAGTCCCCGCCCCCTGCGCTTCCCGCCGCAGACAGACCCAGGCGCGCTTGAAGTAACCGCCCCGCCCCTCCGCCTGGCCACGCCCCCTACATGGCCCCGCCCCCAGGCGGAGCCGGAGCCGAGCCGGGAGCCGGAGCTGGAGGACAGGCAGCAAGACCCCGGCGCGGGAGGCTGCTGTGATCGATTGGGCGGGAGCCCCAGAGGTACTGGTGGGAGTGGGGTTCGGGAAGCCCTGCGGTCGGGCCAGACAGGGACAAAGTGGCGGTGTTGGGGTGGAGACGAGGCTTCTCACCGCGTTCGCTGCCTGCACCCTCCCAACCTCCCTCCGGCTCCAGCTCAGTCCCGAGTCAGCATGTCCAGTCCTCTGCCTCCGTCTGACGACTCCCAGTCCCTCCTCTGCATGACGGCTTAACCCGACTGGTGAGCCGGTGAGTGGATTCAGTGACGCCTGACTCCTCTCTGGCGCTGGCAACTGCCCCTTCTGCTGAGTTGGGGGGTACTCCCCCTCTTCTGGGTCTCCCCTTCTCTTTGGGTGGCCTCCTCTCCAGCTTTTGCACACCACCCCCCAGTCTTGGGCCTGGGCTGGGAGGAAACATCTGTCGCGCCCCCTGGCAGCAGAGATGGGGTCATGACCTCCAGATGTGCTGGGAAGCGTCCAGGGCCGCCTCCTGGGGCAGCCAGGCCTTCCGGATCTGTGGGGGCGGAGCTGCCCCTTCCCCGCAAGTGACACAAACTGCAAGGAATGTCCTGGCCTCAATGGACCCTGTGTAAAGCTGTGGGATGGGGGGCAGAATCCAAGACACCCCCAAGGCAGGGGTAGAGCCCGGCACTGGGCCAAGGCAAGAGTCGATCCCTGGGCTGGGCTGCACACACTCACAGAGCTCCCTTACACACACGTCCAGAGCTTAGCCACATGGAGCAGGAACCTGCACAGACCCCCTTCTTCATACCCTCTCCCCACCCACCCCCATGCCTACCCAGCCCAAGCCTACCCGTGCCCAGAGTTTGGCACATGGAGCCTGCATCTGTCATGCACATAGATGGCTAGCTCCAATGGCTTCACCCTCCTTTCAGTCTCCCTGCAGTCTTCAGTGGGAACAGGGATAGTTAACCCCTTTTAGAGATGAGAAAACAGGCTCAAGGTCCACATCAGAGCCTGTCCCAAGAAACCAAGGTTGGAGGCACCCTGAGCTTTGGAAGCCTACCCTTGTTTGGTTCTGAAGGCCAGCTGAAAGTCCTCAGGCCCCTGCTCTGGCTGCCCACTCCATAAAGTGTTCACAGGGGCAGGGGGTGGCTTCCCCTCATGTTCTCACACCACCTTTCACACCTGCCCCTGGGCTCACCTCATTTCCTCACTCAGCAGGTCTCTGGGGCCTTGGGTGTCTCAGTCTTACATCCTGTGAGACCGAGAGCCTTGCTTGGCCCAACCCCCACCTGCTCCACACCTACGCAGGTTCCTTTTTTTTTTCATTTTTTTCAATACTGGGGATTGAACCCAAGTGCACTACCACTGAGCCACATCCCCAGCCCTCTAAGCACACAGGGACAGGGGTGTGCTGGTGCAGCTCTGTTAAGGCCCTGGAGATTCAGACTTTTTCTTACATGGAATTGCTAATAGGCAAGAGCATCTCTTTTCTGGACCCCAGACTGATCTGTTACATGAGGTTCAGACTTCCCTGTCCATATCACTGAGATTACATAGGCAGAGGTCCCCATGGATTCCAGTTCTATCAAAGGGGCTTGGGTATTTAGTTCTAGCATGCCCTTTCCTGCTTTCAGGTGTGGGCATAGTAATCTGCAAGAGGATGGGCCTGGGGTCTCTCTCTCAAGCTAGGGTGATTTGGGTCCCATGACTGAGCTGAGTGATTCAGCCCCTTCCTCATGATGTGCGGGCTTGGAAGGGGGCTGGGCCCAAAGATGGGACCATTTCCTGTGTTGAAGGAAGTCTTCTTGCCCTTCCTGTGGCCCTGGGAGCCCCTATTTCCCTGAGGTATTGAGACTGTAGGAGCCAGGGCACTGAGAGCAGGCCTCTGGGTGCTCAGGTCCTCAGGGACCCTGGAGGAAGTGGGAGGTGCAGGGAGGAAGGTCTCTGGGGACAGGACGTCCTCCCTTTGTCAAGCAGGCAGGACCCAGACACCAGTGGCCCCATGGGTTTCCCGTCTCAGCCCAAACCAGTTGTCTATCCTTTGGGCCAGGCCTTGGCGGGGACCTTTACTCTGGGCCCAGGCCAAAGCAAAGGTGTGTTAAGTGGGACTTGGCAGCCTCAGGGCTGCCTAGGCTTTAGGACCCTCAGGGCCAAGGCACCATAGCCCAGCCCACACTAACCAGGGAAGGGGCTGGAAACCTCAGCCCTAGGCAGACAAGGAAGTGGCCAGGAAAGCGGAAGCAGCTTTGATGGTCTCGGAGGGGGCCGGAAGCCAACCGGGGTGGTGGAAGACCAGGCTAGGGGCCTGGGTTCCTGTTTTCTCCCCAGGCCCCTCTGAACAGCCCCCTCCTCCTTCAGGGCAGAAACAGCTAGCTGCCACAACCTCGGCCTTCAGGCTGGGCACCAAGCACCCTTGTCTGCCAATGCAACCCGGCTCCCAGAGAGTCAGGCCCACAGAGCATGCCCATGTGGGCCGGCGGCGTGGGGAGCCCTCGGCGGGGCATGGCCCCAGCACCCAGCGATGACCTCTTCGCCCGTAAGCTGCGCCAGCCAGCCAGGCCCCCACTGACACCACACACCTTCGAGCCAAGGCCAGCTCGGGGCCCACTCCTGCGCAGTGGCAGTGATGCAGGCGAGGCCCGACCCCCTACACCAGCCAGCCCTCGGGCCAGGGCCCACAGTCATGAGGAAGCCAGTCGTCCTGCTGCAGCCCCCACCCGGCTCTTCACGGACCCACTGGCATTGCTGGGGCTGCCTGCTGAGGAGCCAGAGCCCACCTTCCCACCAGTGCTGGAGCCCCGGTGGTTTGCTCACTATGATGTCCAGAGCATGCTCTTTGATTGGGCTCCACGGCCACGGGGAACAGGGGGCCATGTGGAATCCAGCTCTGGGACCCCGGCCTCAGCCGAGGACCAGGCTGCGAGCTTAGACCTGCTGCTTGGGGCACCTGGATTTGTGAGCGAGCTTGGGGGTGAGGGAGAGCTAGGCCTAGGTGGACCAGTGTCCCCACCTGTGCCCCCTGCACTGCCCAACGCCTCCGTGTCTGTCCTGGAAGAGCCACAGAACCGGACTGCGGCCTACAGCCTGGAGCACGCAGACTTGGGTGCTGGCTACTACCGCAAATACTTCTATGGTAAAGGTGAGTGCAGGCTGTCTGGGGGAGAGGGAGGAGGGGGCTGGGACAGAAGTCCCTGTCACCTGCAGTGCATACAGTAGAGGGGTCAGGGTTTTTTTTTTTTTTTTTTTTCCCTGTAAAGTACCTGGCTTTAGGAAGGAAAGGGACTGAGCCAGGGCTCTGCTGGGCTCACCTCCTTAAGGGCAAGCCCTGGCCCTTCATCCCCAGCCAAGGCACACCCCTCTGGTTCATCCTCGTAACCCACCAAGCTGGAAAGAGATTTTCTGTCCACATTTCTGTGAGGGGAAAACTCGGGCCTGAAAGGCCTACACTTAGAAACCTTGTTCTCACCTTTGCTATGAAAAGAGATTCTCTTAGAACGAAAAATATGGGTGTGGGGATGGGGCCAGGCAGCATCTGCGCCTGGGTGCAGTCAGGCATTGGCCTTTTAGGTCTTGGGCAAGTTGTGATTTGGGCTGGGCTTCAGAAGGAAGCTCAGGGACTATACTTGGTGAGTTGGGACCTACTGATGAGTGTGGTAGATCCTGGCGGGCAGAACTGCCAGGGGGCTCTGACTGATCGTCCACAGCCTGCCCCTCCCCAGAACACCAGAACTTCTTCGGGATGGACGAGGTGCTGGGCCCGGTGGCAGTGAGCCTGCGGCGGGAGGAGAAAGAAGGCAGCGGAGGGAGTACCCAGCACAGCTACCGCATCATTGTCCGGACCACACAGGTGGGCCAGGATCATGGGATCAGGATGCAGGTCCCCTCATCCTTACCCCATCTGGTCCTAAGTGCCCCAACATCCTTTCAGCTCCGGACCCTCCGAGGCACCATCTCAGAGGACGCACTGCCACCAGGCCCCCCACGAGGCCTGTCTCCGAGGAAACTTCTGGAGCATGTGGCACCACGATTAAGCCCAACATGCCTGCGTCTGGGCTCGGCTTCCCCCAAGGTGCCTCGCACCCTCCTTACACTGGATGAACAAGTGGTGAGTGGCCAGGATGGGGAGACCCTGCCTTATAAGTAGACCCAGTCTGCCCATCCCCCCAGCCTAGAGAAAGCCAGTCCATCTCCAGTGTTTCTGAAACCATCAGGGGTCATCTGGAGCCTTGTTTCTCAAAGGTCTGAAGACCACCAGCATCCTCAGCCTCTAGGGTCTTATCAGAAATGCAGATTCTGGG